GTCTGCTATCGAAGTCTTGGTTGGACCTGTCAAAACCTTCGGGCTCTTGATTACCACTTATTAGGATTACCGGCAAAAAGTTACGAAGACATATTTTACGAGAATAATTACGCAGCGAAAAAATTAAAATGGGACACAAAAATTTACGTGGTTCACCCTCAACTGTTTAGGGTTACGTCCACGGGACCAACTCCAAATATTTCTTCCACTATTACAACTAATAGGCAGACAACGAGCGTAATACAAAATAATGGCACTCACAGAGACGACTTACCAAGTCCAAGGTCAATGAGAAAGGCGCAGAGTCGTAAATTATGTACAGGTTGTTTCATACACCTGTAGACGTTTACACAATTCTTCAATGGTTATCCCTCTATCCCATTCCAGGAAAAGTACTTGGAAATTGAATATATACATAATAATAAGCTACACAAATACAATCTTCATGTATTATTTGAGCGAAGATGGGTTTACAAAGAAAAAACACAACAATCCAGAAGATTTCTTTTGAGCAAATTTACATTTGGTTACATAAGTTAACAACATTGGACGCAGTTTCAATACCCAACTTTGCAAGTTCAACGGTCTCCTGAACTCTTTTTTTTCCCTGATAAAAGATAAACATCATAATACAGATTTAACTGTTTCCAGGAAAGTCAAATACTTTAAAATATGAATTTCAGGATTATATCTGAATTTTCAAAATATTTTACCTTACTTGCTGATGCATTATTCTGATTCCTCTTGGCATGCAGCATCGTGTAATTATCGAGAAACACAGCATCCTTGTGATGATTAATGATATTCTTATCGCGATAGCAAGAAACACAGAGATCATAAGTATTACCGGAGCCATTGAAGCACTGGACACAAGTAAAATAGACCCTATCAAGAAAGACTCTACACTCATCGCAATAGAAAACTCTTCTGGTTGCGCATATGTAGTGTAAAGTCACAAATTCGTCGAAATCCAATGTGCCATTTCTCGAAATCCAATGTGCCATTTCCGTCCTTATCGAGCTTCCTAAAGAAATCCGAAGAAGCAATTGGATTAAAGCCTTTCTTTGGCTTAATGCGTTGCTCATATTCATCGAAAGTAATTTTTCCATCTCCATCTTTATCCATTTCGTTGAAAAAATCTTTTGCTAATCGCTTCTGCTTTTCTGATAAGTTTGCATAATAAGCTTTTGCTGTCTCTGATATCTCTTCCATCATCTGTATGTTATATTCTCTCTTCTAAATTGAAGATCATTTATAATGATTGATTAATCTTAGGTATATTGGAATTTCCTTTAATATATATATATATATATTTTTTTGACTGATTCTTGTTTTAATGTAATTGTCGAATACGGCTTTGCATGGGCAATGGCGGGTTGCTTGAGCCTAAATACGAAATTTCCTGTGTGGAAATAGTCAAACACAAAACGACAAAGATACAACAATGAACCAATCAAAGACAAGATTGTGAAACTAATGATTAATTATTGACACATTATCAAATATGTAGACGATAACACCTAACGCACGTGTGACCTCAGAGTAGAATAATACTGAAAACAAAAATACTATATATTTGAATATTTAATAAGAGCAAGATAATTATTAATAAATAATTAAATAATTTCATGTATTTGCAAAGCATCTTAGGTACAATTTGAGGGAATAAGGGATGGGGGGCAATTGCTAGGTACGATGTAACGTTATAAGTTGGACCCATAAAATAAATTATTAAAGGGAGACAATTTATACCTTTGACGTGAATAAATTATATATATATATATATATATATAATATATATATATAATATATATAGTTTTGGGTAGCTCTTTCAATTAACCATTGCAATATGTATTGATGTGAAGGGCAGGATTATGAGGTTGAGATGTATATTGGGGTAAGAAAATTGGGATTGACCATCACCACTTGCATGTATAATATAATATAATTATGTCTTCAATTCAATATTTGGAATTAAAGATGAAATTAGAATAAATTTATATATATATATATATATATAGTTTTGGTAGCTCTTTCAATTAACCATGCATATGTATTGATGTGAAGGCAGCTATAGTTGATGTATATTGGGAAGAAAATTGGGATTGACCATCAACCCACTTGCATGTATAATATATATAATTATTTTAATTCAATATTTGATTAAATGAAATTATATTTTGTTTTACCATTAATTAAAAGGTATAAGAGATTTTTTACCATTTTTTTTTTTTTGAAAAAAAGAAGAAAAAAAAAGGCACATTTTAGGTTGGCTTTTAACTCGGATTAAGTTAAATCATACTAACTTCATCACTCATTCAATTATAAGCGATCTCGATTATTTCTATATTATTAATTAATTTGAAATTCGTTTTAAAAAAATAGCATTAATAAAAAAAATCGTAGAATTTTATGAATAGAGATAAATCATCAAAATTATAAATTGTTCATTAAAATTAGGGTTTGTTTAGCAAAATTAGTTGCTTTAGTAGCGTTTAACCGTTAACTGTTTGAGTAATTTTTTCATAAAACGTTAAAAGTTAAATGCTACATGAGTTAACTTTTCACACAATAGTACCATAACCTCTAAAAAGTTAGCTCAAATGCTATAATATCGAACAGTTTTTTTTAAAAAGCCATTTAAAAAACACAACCTTAACTTATGTATTTTTCTGGAACGAAAATGGTTTCAGGAAATATTGAGGACCAAGTTTTAGAATATTAAGTAAACAGTAATATGTCATATATGTAAACTATTTCAATTATCTTATTAATTATAGTTAACTTGATTTAATAATCTATTTAAAAATTGGATTTAATTATCATTAAGTTTTTGAATAAATGTATTCTTAAAATTAAAATTAAAATATTATTTAAATATCATAAAATATAAATAAATATATCTAAATAAATTTATGAACCAATTAAATCAAAAGCTCTGTAATTTTAAAATAACTTCAATTTATTAAACCAGCTATTTAAGTTGAAATTTATTTAAGTTCAAAAAAAAATGTAAAGATTTTGTAATTCAAATCCAAATAACTCTGGAGTAACTAATTTAACTCATTTACACACTTTATCTCCCTCTAATACAACATGTTCCTTCTAAGATAATTTTGCCCTCCACTTTTTAGTCATCCAATTAACTAAAATTAAAATTAAATTAACACATTTTATAAGAAGTTCAACACTAAACTTAGGTAAACAAGGAAAAAATATTAAAAATATGAGCATTTTAATGTGAAATATAAAAATTTACAGCTTCAATATTTAAAATGATAAAATTAGAATATCGAAATGGGTTTTTCATTTTGGACATTTCACCTTATTTCATGGAAAAACAGTTACAGAACAGATAAATTTAACATGCTAATCATTTTTAGGACAAACACCAAAAACACAAGAATAAAAGTTGAACTTAAGTAATAGCGGAGGCTAGATCCAGTGAGATCAACCCCTCCAAAAATTAGCGTATGCCAAAGAATAGTTCGCTTTGTGCTTACCGCATGGCTCCGTGACCGGACTGTCTCTTTGAGCTAGCTATATAAGAAGATTCTCTGCTACGTCCAAGTGTTAGCCTTCAACCGATGTGGGATTTGTTGCATTTTTTACTGTTAATGCCTTTTGTATTTCCTCATCATTTCTTATGTCTTTCCTAATTTAACTTCTGTATTGCTATTATTCCTTTTGATTCTTCTATGGCTAACCTTAATTTCTTGATCATTTAACAAAAACTCCATAAAATGGTGGCATTATCATGATATGCTCCTACTACTGTTAATACATTTAGGCTCCTTTTATTTATTTTCTTTATAATGATATAAATTTTATATTTTAAAAATATTATTAAATATGAGAAAAATGCCAAAAAATGGTAAATTATGATTGTCACTAGTGATTGGTGGTTGTGACCAACAGTGGTGACCTGTGGTTGGTAGTGATAGTTGACAATAAATAGTGATTGATGATAGTAATTACTGATGATTACTAAATTAAAAATGTGCTCTTATAATATCATATAAGTTTATCAATTCATGTAAATTGTTTTCCTTTTTTTTTTTAAAATGAGAAGTCATTTTCCTAAAAATTGACTTGATTTTCCTTTGAAAAATATTTCCTATTGATTTATTTTTTCTAAAGTCCAAAATTATAAAAAATTATGAAAATACATTTAATTGTAAGTTATTTTACGAGAATAAACAGGGTTAAAATTATAAATTTTTCTCCTTTGAGAATTAATTGAGGGAACATTCACTTTTGAAATTATATGTTATTTCTTTTAATTATAAAAATAGTTAATCAATTAATTTAATTAATTTTTTAATATTTTCTTTTTTCCGTACTTCATTTAAATCATTATTATATTATATTAATTTATTTATTTGTGGAATTTTTTTATTGAATTAATACTTATATTTGTATGATATAATTTGAAAATATCAAGTAAAGAAAACATAGTATTATTGTAGATTACCAACTTTTCATGAATTCATTAAACACAATTGTTATATATTCTTTAGAATATAAATTATTTATTTATGATAATTATGACTTTAAAAATATAGTCACATTAGTTATATATAATTAAATATTAAAGTTCAATATAAATTATTTTTTAGCAGTTTTATATTAAAAATTTTATTCCATTATTAATTTGAGATATTTATTTCAATTGGAAAATTAACCTCTATTTATAAAACCTGACTAATACTCTCTCATTTTTTGAGGCAAAAGAGTTTATCGGGATTGCAAATATTATTTTGCTACGAGTTAATCCATTCAAGTTATCATGATATAGATTTATATTTATATTATATCTAATATCTAATACTTATTAAATGATTTATAAACATAATATTTAATTGACATTCAATTACTTTCCCCAAAAATTAACATACTATTTGAAGTATTTAAAGTCATTTTATAAAATAAATACAATATTTTTGAGATTGGTCCACAACGAAACAAATCAGCCGCGTGTCGTCAACAAACCAAAGGCCACAAGGTATCCTAATTTACTAGCGGACCCGTGTGATTCGTGCTCCGCAGCCGCCTCCATTTTTCCGAGCAGCCAAACCAGCAAAAAGTCATTATTAGCTCTGCAGCTTTTCTCATTCTCAACCATCTTTCTTCGAAGTTTTTGACTATCACCCTAAGTTTTGATGGCTTCCTCTACCATTTTCCCACCTTCCTCATCCTTCATCGCCAATCAGGTTGATACTCCTTCATATCTGCGAAACCTTTTCATTTCTATTAATTTAAACATTTGCAAATCTCTCAATTCTGGCCCAACATTCTCATTTTTTTTTAAGTTTTTTTATGCTTACTGTTTCACTAAGCTCTGATTTATTCTTTGAATACAGAAGGATCTAGGTCGCTCTGCTTTTTCTTCACCGTCATCGCCATTTTCTATTCCCAAATGCCGGAAATCAATCTCCAAGAAAATTGTATCAGTCATGGCTCCTCAGCAATCAGAACGCAGGCCTGCCACCACGGGCTCAGTTAGTTTCTTCTCATTTTAGTTGATGCTCAGTTTGTCTTTTAATGGTTTTGTTAATTTGCAGATTTTGACTAAATGGTTTTCACCATTTATTTATTTTTTTTGATTATCGGTTAGGGTTCAGTTTTGAGGTTCAGCTGCTTCTTTCATTTCTGCCATCGGTTTGATGCGTAAATGTTTCATAATGGTTTGTTCGGCGGATTTGCAGGTGAAGACTGCAATGACGATGACAGAAAAAATATTGGCCAAGGCATCTGAGAAGCCTCAGTTAAGTCCAGGTGAGAATGTTTGGGTCAACGTTGATGTCCTGATGACTCATGATGTTTGTGGCCCTGGTTCTATTGGTATCTTCAAGAAAGAGTTTGGAGCTAATGCTAAGGTATGGAACTATTTTCTCTTATTTATTTCGTTGATATGTCTAAAATGTGTGGGTGCTAATTAGTGATATAATAAGCACCTGATGTTTACTAGGGGTATAAGCTCAGACACCAACTGGATTATTATTAGGTTTGAATTTCTCACAATATTCGTTCTCAAATCATTTGAATGCGTACATTCTTAATTGATAACCATCTGTTTTTTTAGTAATGCTAGATTGATTGTGACATTTGATGTCTGGAAACCCTAGTCGTTACTATATATATTTCTAAGAGTGCGCAGTTGCTGTGTATGTGTATATATATGTATTCAAAAATAAGACTCGAGTTGAAAACTGAAGTTACCAATATGTCATTTGATCCCCTGTTTGTATGCGTGCATCTTTTTTCCCCCAAATTCAGTGTTTGTCCGTTCTCCATGCTTGAAGGTATGGGACCGCGAGAAAATTGTCATTATACCAGATCATTACATATTCACTGCTGATGAACGTGCAAACCGGAATGTAGACATATTGAGGGACTTCTGCTATGAGCAAAACATAAAGTACTTCTATGACATCAAGGACCTTAGTAACTTTAAGGTGTGGATTCATGACTATGAATTTAACTCAATTTGTTCCCTGTTTTTTGAAGAGATTTTCTTTACTGGCCTGTTACTAACTGAAGTGGCATTTACTTCCTGACTTTGCAGGCTAACCCTGATTATAAAGGTGTATGCCATGTTGCACTTGCTCAAGAAGGTCATTGCAGGCCAGGAGAGGTGTGACTCTCGGGAGTCATTGATTTGTCAAATATTTTTCCCCTTAAATTCCAGATTCTCTTGTTTAATAGCTCATTATTGCCTCAGGTCCTTTTAGGTACTGACTCTCACACCTGCACTGCTGGAGCATTTGGCCAATTTGCTACTGGAATTGGCAATACTGATGCGGGTTTTGTTTTAGGCACTGGGAAGTTGCTGCTCAAGGTATGTAAAATTGAATTTCCTTTCTCTAGCTTCTGTTACTGTAGTCTCCTCAGTTTTATTTTTACGTTCTCTAGGCTCTATGTGGTTTCTTAAACTAATGGGTATATTGGCTTCACCTAGGTGTTTCACTAGATGAACTTTGACACACTGTTGGTTGGCTCAGTATGTGTACATCATTAACTTGAGAACTGGCTTTCCAGTTAGATTTTAACCTTATATATTCTTCAGTATATAATTATTGCTAATTCAGCAATATCTTCTATTGAACTTGTCCACGGATTAGAATGTTAAATGATACTGGCTAGCAAATTATACCAAGTTCTCTTAAAAATATTGGTGCTGCCAATGCTATGGATAGATTCTGAGTACTTGCTATGTTGTTCAAGTTATTTTTAGTAATAAGAAATATAAGATACATTCTTTGAAATGTGTGGTGAAAATGGCTGACTTTCACAACCTGTGCATAATTTGTTAATGCTGGGTTAGTATGGTTATGCTGGGTTAGCATGGAACATTCACATTGAATTGTTTTTATTGAGAGTGACTTTACTTGTTTGACAGTGCATGGATTTGAACCCTTGAATTTTGAGTTGGATTTCTTCTTGTGTTGCATCTTCACAATTTCACAAATGTATGTAGGACAATGTTTCTTTTCATACTCCAGTTTCTCTTCTTTTACTTCTTGTAGACTGTTAATATCTTGGCAGTTTTACTTTTAGACGATATTGAACAAGCCTTTCTTTTATTGGATTCATTACTTATGCTCATTTCCCATTTGCTTTTAGACCTTAATTGCACAGTGTTTATTTACGCTATGCATCTTGGATTTCTGCGATTGCGATGAATTCAAGGTGTTAAAAAATCGTTAATAAGATTAAGATCTTGGAAACTTTTCATAGAACTTGAAACCTGGATACACAATTAGCTTTTACTAATATCCTTGAGCTGTTTAGTTGTCCTGCTTGACAATTTCTATAAATTTTTGTCATCTTCCAAAATTGTGTTGGTTGTAGTATTTCATTGCTGATCTACTGATTTTCTTATTCTTAAAATTGCAGGTGCCTCCAACTTTGAGATTTGTAATGGATGGTGAAATGCCTGATTATTTGCTTGCAAAGGATTTGATTTTACAGGTGAGTGCATTCATATCTCAGACACATGCTTGCTCCAGTGGGCATCAACTTATCTTAAATGAAGTACATAAGTTTTCCTGTTCCTGTTCTTTGATATCTGGGAAATGATTGTCTCATCCAGATTATTGGTGAAATATCTGTAGCTGGTGCAACATATAAATCAATGGAGTTTGTCGGCACAACTGTTGAGAGTTTAAATGTGAGGAAACTTTAGCTTCTCTCGTACTTAAATTGTGTGGTCAGTGAATTTCCATTTGCTGTAGTTCATATCAGATCGACAGATCTGTTTCTTCTTTGTTCTGATTTTTTATGATGGTTAGATGGAAGAGCGGATGACATTGTGTAACATGGTTGTTGAAGCTGGGGGGAAGAATGGGGTTGTCCCTGCTGATAGCACTACATTCAAGTACCTTGAGGTATTCAAATGGATCGTACACTATTCACCATTGCTTCTATTTATTTTCCAATCTGTTAAGGAACTCTTCTCTTTTTCATTTTTTGCATAGAAAGGGCTTTACCAACATTATCTTTTGTTGCGTACAGGATAAGACATCTGTGCCCTATCAACCAGTTTATAGTGATGAGCAAGCAAGGTATGTTTTCATTAGTGAATGATTACTCAATAATAGTACCTTATTTTCTTAGGGATCCTTTTCGAAGGATCCATGTAACTAACGGTTATTAGATTGAGATTAAAGTTCAATTCAATTGAATGTTTTTCATAAGGTCTTGTTTCTAGGATTCCGAAAATGTTTTGGAATTAAGATATATATTTTTTTAATCTATTTCATGAAAATATATAGGTTTTGCTATCATCTTTGTAATTTACCGGAGCACAATCATTTTGTTTACTTGTTATCTGAAGTAATTTAAAATATTCAGATACATTATTGAAAAGTGTGGGCGTCTTAAATTTTGACATTGAGGTGGATTGACTGACTTGAATTTTTCTGCCTATGAAGTGTCTTCAGGCTTCAGTTAACTTAGCTTGTTGGTCTTATAATTTTTATGATTGGAAACTTATACCAGATGTAAAGAGAAGTAAACTATAAGTTACATGAGTAAATTGTAAATGTTATTCTATTTCTGGGACCATGAAAATAACTTACTTTTATCAGTTATCCAGTAGTAGAATATATTGCTTGCATCTTTTACCGTGGTGCTTTTGGTTTTTCATTTTCAATGATATGCTTTTCTATTTTGTCTCTTAGATTTCTTTCAGAGTACAGATTTGATATCTCAAAGTTGGAGCCATTGGTTGCAAAGGTGTGATTTTATTTGTTTTCCATAGTGTTTGCACAGTTTTATATTTATAAAGGGCACTAAAACTCCTGTGGACCTCTGTTGTTATCCCTTCTCCTAGTTTTGTCTGGTTACTCTTTTTTACCTTCGTAAAGAGTGACAGTCTATCTCCCAAAAAAAAAAAAAAAAAAAATAGTGTTTGCAACAGTTTTATATTTATAAGGGCACTAAAAACTCTGTGGACCTCTGTTGTTTTATCGCCTTCTCCCTAGTTTTGTCTGGTTTATCTTTTTTACCTTCGTAAAGAGTGACAGTCTATCTCCCAAAAAAAAAAAAAAAAAAAAGGCGTAACAATAGTCAAAAAAAAAAAAAAAAAAAAAAAGAGTAACAATAGTCACATATATTTTTGTAGCCTCATTCTCCTGATAATCGGGCTTTAGCAAGAGAATGCAAAGATGTCAAAATAGACAGAGTGTACATTGGATCCTGTACTGGTGGAAAAACAGAGGATTTTATGGCTGCTGCCAAAGTTTTTCTAGCTTCAGTAAGAATTGTTTATCTTATTGTTTTTTTTTTTATTATTATTTATTTCTATTTGATCATTGATTTTTTATGTGGATGTATGAATCCATTATGCTTCTGATCTTAGTCAATTAAAACTTTAATTGCTGTTGTTGCTATGGGCCTATACATATGATGTTCAATGGAAATATAGTTTGTCATTCTTTAGGTTGTGCTCTGAATATATAGGTTTTGATATTTTTTTTTCAAATGTTTTTCTTCTTCTCATGGTATATTGGCAAGTTTGATCAATTCTAGAATCTACTATTTAAGAGTTCTTGCATATGATAGTTTACTTTTTTGGAATCATGATCTTCTCAGAACAAAGTGCTCGTGTTCATTTCAGCTTTTTGGTTAATTAATTTGAGATCAATATGAGTTTGTCTTGTGGAAGGCATGTTTCCTTCCATATTTGAGCATCATTCTTCCTTCATTGAAGTTACTAAGATATAAATGTAAAAACTTTTTGGTTGCTTGTGACTAATTTGGGACACATTCAACTGCTACATATGAGTAGGATAAAGATCACTTTGAAATCAGGCTCATTTGCTAAGCAAGCTTATGCTATGATAAATTTATGCGGCCGCAAGTCATTTCATATTACGATATTTATCTTGTGTTTGCAATGCTGATATTCATTTGTGCATTGTTGATTTCAGGGTTCAAAGATTTTGAAACAGATGGATTATTTTAAACTGGGAGAATCCATCAGTGATCATTTTCTTTAATTTTGGCTTTTCTTTACCTTCTCAAGCTTATATGAATGTGCTTTATGTGCAGGGTAAAAAGGTCAAGGTTCCCACGTTTCTTGTGCCTGCAACCCAAAAGGTTTAAATGCTTGATCACAATGTGCTTAATCCTGTCGATTCACTAGTTATGAAAAAAATTAGTCAGAAATTAACAGTAATATTTTATTGTAAAATTCAGGTATGGATGGATGTATATAGTTTACCAGTACCGGGGTCTGGTGGCAGGACTTGCTCCCAGATTTTTGAAGAAGCTGGTTGTGACACACCTGCAAGTCCTAGTTGTGGTGCATGCTTGGGAGGCCCCAAGGACACTTATGCACGCATGAATGAACCAATGGTAAGCTTAATTTGTTTATCCCTCCAACTGATACACCTTCTGAAGTTCATCATCCCAATTAAAATATTTCTATTTTTAGAATGCATTTCCTAATTCAACAATAATCTTCAGTTACAAAGTTATAATGCTGATGGATAGGAATGAAAATGCAATCAAAGAAAATCTGGTCAAGTTGATTGGCCATGGGGATAAGATTTGGTATTCCCTATTGTGAATGAATAGTTTCGGTGTCCAGTTGATTACTTTACCTTCTGTTTTATTTGTTTTTATGCCAAAGTTGGTTAGTAACAAAATCTTATATGGAAAAACATATTGCAGTGGCTACTATGAAATAATGTGTTCTTTCAACAACTAACGGGAATTTTCTGGAAAAGAAAGGATGCTTTCCATTTATTAGACATCACATGTGGCTTTGAAACATGTTAGAAACAAACAGTAATTTAGTCCATAACATCGAGATTGAGAAGTGAGGCTTTGTTTGTTTGGATTATGAAAAAATTGGTCTGCTTGTTGCTTACAATAACTGTTACCATGATATTGAAAAGGGCCAGTGCCGCCCAGAGCTCAATGCCTATACATTATTATCATAGGTAACTTCAATCATGCATGAGAATTTGCAAGGAGACAATGTGATAGACCTTCTTATATCCTTTATATTATGTTGATTAATACCTTGTGTAATGCATTCTGGGTGGGGAGTGGTATTACTATAGGCAGTAGGCACTGAACTGAGAAGTCAGATTCTGCGTACTGTTGTATAATGCGTACATAATTTTATCATTCTACATGGTAATAATATTTTGAATAATGAGTGATGATTGTAGGCTTGTCTTGTCTAGTAAAACTTAACTCTATGGTCGACACCGATCCATGTTGGCGATTCCTACCATGTGATGTTAACTACTTTGAGGGCTTTGTTATTGCAGGTTTGTGTGTCAACAACAAACCGAAACTTCCCTGGCCGTATGGGTCACAGAGAGGGGCAGATATATCTGGCCTCCCCCTACACAGCAGCAGCATCTGCTTTGACTGGTTATGTCACTGATCCAAGAGAGTTCTTACAGTAGGTTTTTTAATATTTTGTTTAGCCTACGCAGTGTTGCAAAATAAACTTAAATGGCAGAGCCGAAGTAGATACCTGATTCTGTTATTTTGAGAAGTATAAGTTTGCAAAATTTGATGGTTGTTACTAATTGGAATGAAGAATGTTTGCAAGATGAAGCGTAACCTCCTGTCCTTTCTTTGCTTCATGTATTTTGCATATTAACTGCGACTGCTAGAGAAGCTCTCTATGTTTTTTTCCTTCTTTTTTTTTTCAGTCAAGTTTTACTGGTAGGGATAATGCCCCACCAAAATGAGATTTTTGTTATTATTTTTTAATGAGCAACCAATGAAATATTATGTACAAGGTTTCAGATTATGAAAATAAGATAGACGATCCAAGTCAGAACCAATTTTAATCGAAAAATTAGTTTTTTTCTTAAAAAAGTTTTTTTAGATATATTTTACAAAATTTTAGTCGACTGTAATTTAACAAAAAAAAAAAAAAAACAATGTAATATTAGACAAGATGGAACTACTTTGTCGATGAATGAATCAACCTCAACCAATAATATGATTACAAGCAGACAGGCAACAGATTGCAGAAAAGTTCAAAAAGAAAACATGAAAAAACAAAACGCTTTGCAAACATAGATGAAAAATCCTAATCCTTAGAAACTAGAACTAAAAACCATTCTTGAGGCGTGGCATTAATGTAAGAATCAGCAAGAAGTAGAAGCTCTTTATCTGAATCATCCTCATCCTCGTAATTATAGTTATGATCTCCATCATCACCGCCAGTCTTGAGGCTTTCTTGATCATCATCAGCACTATCCAACAACTTTTCTATCTCAATAACCTTTTGATAAAAAGAGAATTCCAATTCTTCATCCTCATCGTTAAAACAATCATCAGCAGTATCGAGTAGCTCTTCAATCTCAATAACCTTCCTCCAAAACGATAATTCCAATTCTTCTTCATCAGTATCATTGCCCTCTTCATAAATGCGAAATTCAAATTCTCGATTATCAGTAAAACAATCATCTTCAAAAGAAAAGCATTCTTCTTCATCAATATCAGTAACCTTTACATGAATGCGAAATTCAAATTCTCGATTATCAGTAAAACAATCATCTTCAAAAGAAAAGCATTCTTCTTCATCAATATCAGAAACCTTTACATGAATGCGAAATTCAGATTCTCAGTTATCATTAAACCAATCATCGTCAAAAGAAAAGCATAATTCCCATGCTTCATCGTCGTGAGAAAAGGAGTTTCTTTCATCGTCATTAAAAAAAGAGTTTTCTTCATCACCTAAAGAAGATTCTTCAGAAGAAAAGGAGTAAAGCTTCATTTTTGGAGTATACAAATAAACGGAAACCTAAAGAGAACTACTGTGAAGAAACAAGAAGTGAGGCAGAGATATGCAAATTAACCGAGAATTGTTTGTTATATATATAAAATTATATAACTGGTTCCAAATCCAAGCTTTAACGGAAACCTTAAAGAGAAACTACTGTGAAGAAACAAGAAGGGAGGCAGAGATTATGCAAATTAACCGAGGTAATATACAAATAAACGGAAACCTAAAGAGAACTACTGTGAAGAAACAAGAAGTGAGGCAGAGATATGCAAATTAACCGAGAATTGTTTGTTATATATATAAAATTATATAACTGGTTCCAAATCCAAGCTTAAGAAGGTTTAGGTTTTGTCCCCTGGAAGGAACCCGTGTAAACTCACCAAGTTAAGCTAGGATTTGGATACTCAGATAAAGATAAAGAAGTTTCCAAGAGAGAAGGATTTTAATTATCTTATTAATTTTCAGAACAATATTACGTTTACATATTAAATAAATGGGTCTCTGTTTTTTCCTTTCTGGTTTATAATCGGAGATTAAGTAAAAGCAAACTAAACACTAACAAAATTGGATTTCTTATTATCGTTTGTGTGTATATTTTGATGGTTTTGCAGGTGAAGACTGAGATGGCAATGACTCTGAAAATCTTAGCCAGGGCTGCTGAAAAGACCCAGTTGATTCCAGGTGAAAATGATTGGGATAACGTTGATGACCCATTACATTTCTTCCCAGGTGCCTTTGGAATTTTCAAGAGAGAATTTGGATAGGGCCTATGGAATTTTTCTCTCCTTTATGTTCAATATATAGGTTGCCCATCTGCCATGCTTGAAGGTTTGAATTTCCCATATGCAACAATCTTGAAGGTCCTGCTGGAGCATTTGGCCAATTTGCTGCTGGAATTGGAATCACTGATGCAGGATTTGTATTGGGCCCTGGAAAGGTCCTGCTCAAGGTTTCTACTGTAATTACAAGGATCATTAGCTGCTTTAGCAATTTGAGATTCTCTAGTGAGCACTAATTTGAACCTATAATACCTTCATCTTTATTGATTTATTTTTATGATAAAATTACTGTTTTTTGTTTTTTTTCATGTGGATGCATATAGAATTTCAAATCTTGTGTTCCATCAAAATAAAACTCTAGTCTTTTCAAGCTTAATCTATCTATATATGTTCAATGTGCAGGGTAAAAAGGTTAAAGTTCCATATTTCTTGTCCCTGCAACCCAAAAGGTTTCATAATGCTCATCATTATATGCTTCCATGTGTCTGTTGGAAAGAAATCTGTTAAAATTTTAATTGCAAAAATTTTCAGGTCTGGATGGACATATACAGTATCCCAGTACCAGAATCTGGATAAACGTATTGCTGTCGCGGTGAGTCCTATTGTATATATTGATTCCACCAAATATTTCAGAATTATGTAATATCTAACACGATCCTCAAAATTTTCACTCTACCAAAAATTTAGAAACATAATAATCAATAATAAAAGTGGGAAAACAAATCATGGGGTGGGCATAATGGCCCCCAGACTATGCTGAACCCCCACCATTGATTTTGAGGGGCATAGATTTGATTTGGAAATTACCCCACACTTTTTACAAATACCCTTTTACTCAATTGCAATGTCTCACCTCTCAAGTGGACATAATTGTAACTTTTTCACACCCATCCATCAAGGCACTTCCTAGGATTGAACTGGAATCAAAAGAAATACCAACATAGATATATGAAAATATTACTCCTTTAAGCATTTTCCAGCTGTTGTTGGGTTCCAATGCCCATCATTTGTTTTTTCCACATTTTGTAACTAAGTTCCAAAAAACAAAAAACAAAAAAACAAAAATAGACCTTAGTTGGTGGGTCAGTGATATATATATTCATGGCCGAATCGAGAGAAAAGGTTAAAAGAAACCATCATTTTTCATAACTACTAACAGGTCTTTTCACTTTACTATGCAAGATGCAGAACAGAAACCAGCAAGAAAATAATTTTCTTAACAGATGAAAGAAAGTTGTGCTCTTTCTTTTACATCAACAGCAGAATACAGTTGTGCTCTAATCAATAACAAAACAAAAGTAAATATGAGAAATGGGTCACACTATTAATTAACATTGGAGTATTCTTTCTGCAGTCAAAATCTAAATGATTGCATAATCTTGAGTACCAACAAGTCTGTCTCTTTCTTCAGGGCAGTATCTTTAACCCGGATCACACTTTCTGGTTCAAGCATGAGGAACCAAGCCTCAAAATAAATAACACCTGCACAAAATATATTCAAAGTGCAATCTTGTTCAAATTGGTCTTATTTCCTTGTCAGTTTGTTTAAATCAACTCTCCAAGTTTCAATCTTTAGAGATTTTTAGTAGTGAAAGTTCTAGTTCAGTAGTTTGTTGTTTGTCATTCAGGTTCTTTAAACTCCTTTCTTGATCCTCTTAACCATATTTTCTTTAGAAACAACCTTTTCTTCAGCTCTATTCAAGATTTAGGGTGAAACATAATTGTGCTAAATTGCACTTCCAAAAAAAAAAAAAAAAAAAAAAAAAAAAAAAAAAACCAAAAAAAAAAAAAAAAAAAAAAAAAAAAAAACATGGGGAAACAAACACATTAGATGAGAAATTTCAAACTTAAGACCGCAAAAGCAATTAAAACTGAAATTCCACAAAGGATTGAAAAAAAAAAAAAAAAAAAAAAAAAAAAAAAAACATGGGGAAATCAACACATTAGATGAGAAATTTCAAACATTAAGACCGCAAAAGCAATAAAACTGAAATCCACAAGATTGCAGCAAACTCCACTCTAAATATCAAGAACTCCCATATTTACAGTATGAGAAAGCAGCAGTAAGTGTGCAAAAGCCCGTATTGCAACACTATATAGGAGAGAAAAAAAACGCTAAAATGAATATTGCCTACAAAAATAAAGAAAACCCGCGAGACACAGACAACGGTCAAGCGAAAAAAAAAGGAAAAAAGAACACTAAAAAGCAGTGAAAATGCAATCTTAGCGGAATATCTGACTCGTCGAATCTACTCTGTCTTTGTTTTCGAACTGTGAGTTTCATCTTTCTGGAGTTTAAAATGACAGGACACAAGTATTCTTAAATAGGCTTGCATCTTTGTCTTCCATTCCTCTCTTGGAATCTTGGAGCTGCAATTGTATGGTAAAGTAGTTTTAGAAGGGGAGAACTAACGATCGTAGTTTTAGTGTCAATTGCGACATTTATATACCGAGTCCATTAGCTTCCGAAGTTCTCATGATCCGGAGCCTTTTAACAGAAGTAAGGAACATCCTACAAATGATGACGAGCAGACAATTAGTATTACAGATATACCAACAGAACTAAGCAGAGAGCGATCAAGGTGACACATAATATGTAAGATCTCTCAACATGATACAGTTCACGAGGCATCAACTCCTCCATTTCCTTTCATTAATGTAGAAAAATTAAAATAAAGATAAAATCACAATACCCCCATGGAACATCTCCGACAAGCATCCAATCTCCTTCTTTATCTTCATAAGTGAGAACAAACTCAGAAGAGCCGTCCAAAAGCTTAGAGGCATTTGTTAATTGTTGCTTTTCTCCTGATCCTATTAGTGCAAGTAGAACATGGACTGAGAAACGATTGATAGAATGCATGATTTGATCATATTTCATCTTTCTAACATTAACAGAAAAGAAAGAAAGAAAAACGGCTTACCAATTGAACCGATGGTTGGTGTGGATCTAAAAAACATTTCCTCTAATGTTTGTGCAAGTGTCTCATAGGAACCATGAGCATTCAAATCCACTTTCCTTCCAATTGGAACTCCATCCATATTCACTTTAACAAATCCAAGATTCCCTTTCTCAGTACCAGTACCATTATTTTTCTTTCCACTGCAAAATTTCTTCTTTAAGACATCCTTAGATTTATCTTTCTCATCAACTGACTTGTCTTCTTCAGATCTTGAAGCCTTGGCTTGGTTCACCAAGCTGTTGATCCTATAAGCCCTTATAGGTGGCCATCCCACAACCTGACTGCTCCCACAAAGCAATTTACTATAAGAAATATTTTGAATCATTAGGTAATATAAACCCTGAAGAACAGAATAAAGGCTAAACATGCATTTAACTAATATTAACACACTAAATATATTAAAAATTAATAATAATCAGGCACTTTTATTTTTCTGTTTGTTAGGAAAAAAAAATCAGGGGAAGAAAAATTAATGAAATGAAAAGTAAAATTCCTTTTTTCTTAAGATATTTATTTCTTCATGATTTTTAATACAATCTGAATTGGAAAAATACTATTATTCTCTTGTTCTTGCTTTTCCAGGAAACAACAGTAGAGTTAAAACAGAATAGAAAAAGTTCATACATGTAGACACAATTCAAGCCAATATAATCACTTTGGCTAAATATAATTTGATATTAGTATTTACTTTACAGATAAAAGAACCAAAACAACATAAAAGCACCTAAAAAAGAAAATCAAAATCAAAAATTTCTTTTCCTATCTTATCATTCTTCTGACTTTTCTTATCAACCAAACAGAACAAATAAACTAATTAAAAACCAGAGAAAAGAAAAAAATAAAGAATTTGAGAAGTCTCACTAACCTGACAGAAGTAGGGGATCCACCTTCATTGGAAACAGGCTCAGCAGCTCTTTTAGTACCAGAAATAGCACCGACAACACAACCAGAAGTTGTGCCATTATCATTACTATTATTATTAACTCTATGGGACTGAGTAACCACAGAAGGAAAGTCCTTGGCAGTCAGGATTCTCCCACACTCACCCCATCCGTTTGTCTTACTCTTCCCTCCGCCACTACCGCTGCTGCCGCCAAGACTCAGGCCAAGACCCAGCTCTAGCTCAGCCTCTACTGGATATGAACTAGCCTCAGCATCCACCACTTCCACCTTTGACACAGCAGACTCATTTGTTGAGACCCCAGAAGAACCGCCACTGCAACCGCCGCTGCCGCTAACAGCAAGCAAACCAAGAGCACTAGCCATCGTCAAATCAAGAAAGAGACAGTTGGTGTTTTTCAAGAATCAAGAAAGGAGTTAAAGCAGTGTTTTCTCAGAGAGAAGTTGTTGGGTATTGAAGGAGGAGAAAGTATAGGCTAAGGACAAGAGGGAAAAAAAGAAGAAGAAAGACTAGGTGGTGGAGGGAGTGATGATGATGGGACCCATATGTCTGGTAGTGCGCCAAGCACTCTAACCACTGGTCCACAACTCACTGTCAAATTTCTCTTGACATAAACATCATCATGTCTCTTTAGAATCTGATTTTCTCTCTTGGTACAGAAAAAATGGAAATGACGAGGGAAAAAAAAAAGAGAATAATTAAAACTTGTGGCTTGGGCTCCAATTAAGTCCTTGCTAACATTTTATTGTAAAAGAAAATGTTTTCAACTTCAAGTATTAGGCTATTAGCTAGAGATTCTCTCAGGAAAGTTTAGAGTTTAATTATCCCAGTTCCTCATCGTTGTAATAATACTATTTCCAGGAAAGGTTTTGAATTTCAGCTGGTGTCTGAATTTATCAGCTAATGAATGCAAATGAATTTCATACAAAAGCCTTTTAATGTATAATATATTTATGTATGGATGTGATGAGTTAAGATTACTAGTTCTTGAACATACTCCTTTCTTCTGTACATACTGCCACAGGTACTTAGCTGAAAAAAGGAAAGATAAAGGCAAACCAACAAAGATAAGGGAAAGCAAAAGGATGCTAATTAATTAGAGGTAAATTTACTTTGAAACATCATAATTAACGTCTAAAGAACTTAACAAGAATTCTTTTTTTTAAATAATACTCTATCTCTTCCAAAAGTCAGACTCTTTTGATGGGTAATTAAGGATGAGTATTGAGTACCCTGCTTTAATCCATAAAACAAAATAAAGAAAAAAAGATTATTTTTTGCAAATCAAGATTATAAATAAGTAGATGAACTAATTAGTGACTTAATTAAAGAAAAACCAAAGCTTTTACTTTGAGCTTAGGTGTCTCTTAGCTTTAGTATAAAAGCATGGCTTAAAGTCTAAAGGTCGAGTCTTTTTACAAGAAAAAGAATAATCTTAAAGTATTTGCTTCTCTACACTCCCTTCCTTTCTTCCAATGTGCTGTCTACTATTTTAAGGACAAACAGCACAAAACCTTGTTTTATAAAGTTGAGACCTAAAGAGATGCATTCTCAGTGGACGGTGGGGCTGCCCTCAAAAGTTAGGATAAATATATAAGCAAAAAAATTTAAAAAAAAAAAAAAAAAAAAAAAAAAAAAAAACAGCAACAAAAACCTTGTTTTTATTAAAGTGAGACTAAAGAGATGCATTCTCAGTGGACGGTGGGGCTGCCCCCTCAAAAGTTAGGATAAATATATAAGCAAAAAAAATTTAAAAAAAAAAAAAAAAAAAAAAAAAAAAAAAAAAAAAACATTGCGAATATAAATAAATTACTTCACCAAATGTTGAGTAAAGTACTTTTTAGTCCTTAAAGTTTGACTATAATTACTATTTAGTCCCTATATTTTGACTAAATAACTAATTCATCCCACCCAGCTAATAGCCAGATTTTTAATCTGGTTAATTTCTCCATCGCTTGGATGGTATCAAATAATTTGATTCTTCATCTATCAAATATCAATTAAAATTAGGATTTAAAAAATGTTATGAGCATGATGAATCAATTTGTGCCGATCTGTTGCTAATAAACTTTCCATTGATTATTTTAAAAGTTAAAACTTTGAACGTATAATTAATAATTTAATTACCAATCAGCATCGTGGCCGCTATTTTTCATAAATATTTTATGTATGGAAACATGAAAATTACTATTTACCATCAATTTAATGTCTCCAATTGTGGTAAATTATTCTCCCTTTCCCCTCCATCATGCTCTTTGACCAAATTTTTTATTTATTTATTAGAATTTTAAAGTTGATAATAATATTATTATATGTGGCTATGGTGTCCAATTCCAATAACACGACAACATCTCATCCAAAATCTTCATTGTCATAAAACCATGAAATGAAAAGGAAGGTTAATGTCGTTTGTACCTTTTTATTCACTCCATAAATCCACATTAAAGCAACCTCTTTTGTTGCTCGTTGTTTAGTGCTTTTTAATGGATTGAATTGGCCGGGTCTCCCTTTTTTTAGTGGCTAATCAAAAAGCAAAAATGATAAAGAGAAAGAAAAGAGGTGATACTCATATTATCAAAGTAAAGTTTATTAGGGTTAATTTCAGAAAAATCAAGCATTGCAGTAGCTGTTAACTAGTATTAATTGAAACATTAAAAAAATTATTAATTAATCTATGCCAAACATTAGAAGCTACAATGTTTAGTATCTTTTTAAAAACTATTATAAAAGTTACGTTATCAAACATTAAATAGTTTAATCAAGACGCTAAAGTTAAATTAAAATCTATTGTCAAACAGGGTTTTAATCAATGGATATCGACGTGGGTAGTTTGACACATTTTTTCTTTAAGTGGAGTCAATAGTTTGATCTTCTCGATATATATTTTTTCTTCAAGTGAAGTTGAGAATTTAATCTTTATAAATAGAGTAAAAATTTACGAAAAACACTTTATTTCGTAACATACTGATTTGATGCCGAAAGAATTTAATTCAAGCTTTATGAACTGAAAATGCATATTTAATTAATAAATAAGTACAAATTATTTACACAAAAATACAATTTATTTTTATATTTAAATTGAAAAAAAATTATTTTTCGTTAATTATTCCCTGGAAAAGAAAATAATTGTATTTTTTTCTGAATAAACTAAAAAATTGTAATTAAACACATGGTACTGTTTGAGTAGCAGGCGGATGTTTAATTAAGTGTACGAGTTGGAACAAATTAACGTGTTAGGTTAATTAAGTGTAATGAAGATTAGGATACAAATCCAAAGATTAGGCAAGATCAAAGGTTGTCCGATACAAGTTACAAGGGACAGCCCGACAGGGTGGGAGCTAAAGTCACGTGCCGATTATAGCCATGTCATACGACAACCTACGCGGCTGACCGGGGAACCTATCAGAATCAGACTCCTCTCCGACTCGGACTAAACTTTGCTTTCTAAATTCCTTTTTTAGTTCTAGTTCAAGACAGCTTGGCACTTTCTATTACTAGGAATAAAATATCTACTCGCTTTTTCCCCACTCGTGCTTTTCACGAGCAAAACAAATTAAGCAAATAAGCGCGTGACGATGAGTTTGAGTAAAGGGTGTGGGTGTGGGTTCGGTGAACCTAGGCAAGGCATGACCATTACATAATGAGGAGGATTGGTAATGGTACGGAAGTGGGTTTAATGGGACCCATGAAATGGTGGGTACAACATAATGGTGGTGTTTTGGTAATTTCAGGTTAATGATATTGGTATTTTCGCTTCACGCCCCTCATTTAACTTCCTTTTGCCGCCGCGCCATCCTCCCTTCTTTGTCTGACAAAATCCCCTCTTTTCGCTTTAAGCCGCTTTTTATTTATTTATTTATTATTATTATTAATTGGGCAATTCTATTTTTTAAGAAATATGTAACATTTTAACATATTTTCTTTGTATAATCTAAAATTAATTTCAGATTTGAATTCTCTTTCTCTAATATTTAAAAAAATCTAAATATTTTTATTTTCTTTAATAATTATTATTTTTACTTAAATTAATCAATATTAAAATACAGTACAAATATAGTAGTTATTTTTATTGGCTTTAAGATATTTTTACTCCTAGTTGAAAATTAATTTTACATGTATTGAAACTAAAATTTTTACATGAAACATATTTTTTTAGATTAAACTATGCTTTTCTTTAAACGTATAATTTAGGAATATTGGATTTTTTATGACTAAAATATGTCTAAAATTTTCTCTTTTTTTTTTTTAAAAAAAAAGCAAAGAATCGTGGCATAGATCAACATTGTTTAACAAAAGAATTTTCTTATAATAATCATGTATTGGTGGACTCACTTTACTTGTGAATTAAATTAATTTTTTTAGTAATCAATTAATTGTTTAATTAAAATTTATAATAATAACAATTTTAAAATAAAAATTTGGTCGTGATGTTCTAAATTTAATGATAAATTAAGCAATAATTAGTATAATTACATTCCCTGACAATTATGATTGACTTTAAAATAGTATCTGCAGCGGTCAAGCCTTCATGATTGATAGAAGATGCTCCGTTTCTACTCCAAAATAGAACAAAAAGGGAAACTGAAAATTCTGAATCAGTTATGTATCATATTGGTATTTTTTGGAATTGATCACTGCTCTTTGTTATAAAATTTAACAGGGTCTTACCATTTCAACCCCTCTTATGCAAGGAGAAAGTATTTTCTCTATTTACAAAAATTAAATATAAAATTTTAATTTTTTTTATTTAGACCAATCTCGATGATTTGTGTATTTAGTATTTTGATATAAAAAATTAAAATAGAGAAGAGTAGTAATCAATCAAAATTTTTTTTCTTATCTAATAATCGAAACATCTTTTATGAGAAGCAAATATAGACCAAAAAAAAAAAAAGTACACCAAAAAATAGCATAGTAAGTGTATATACGAATAAAAAATGAAAAAAAAATAATAAAGAAAGAAGATATGGGCTCTAACCATACCAACTCCCTATCATCCACCCCGGTGTTAACGTGCGCCCAATTTTTTCTCGTCCAAAAGCTTTCAACCAGTGCACTTTAGCAAAAAAGGCGTATAGTAATAAACTCCTGACATAATCCGGGTCAAGTCAAAGAAAACTCAAACCATCCACTGAGGGATTTCGTCTTTTCCCCGACCTGTTTCTTTTCTTTGCGGAGGATCTGCCACAAACAATGGAGCACTGGACACCACATACAGATCCGAAACATGAAAATACTCCACCATCGCCCTCGCTATGCCTTCGATGATGCATGTACGGACCTGAGCCACCGCTAACGACACTGCTCCTGATCAAACTAGATATGTCACTATGATCATACACAGATGATGCCTCTATTTGCCACCTTTCCAATTTAGAGTGGAGACCTTCCATGCTGCTTTCTAGGCTCCAAGAACCTATTATTTCGCTTTCCATTTCTTCAATCCGAAGTTTGTTTTTTATCATCGCTGCTACTACCTCCGATGGCGATGGCCCCAATTCTGATTCGGTTAGTATCGATGGCGCCCCACCATTAAATTTTGAAGAAGAAGTATCATTGTTTGAACCAGGTTTTCCATTTGTATTCTTAGAAATCTTCGACCCGTATTTAGCTTTTGTTAATGCACCATAACCCGACCCATTACCAGTTGAATCAGGCTTGTTATTGCTTTTGCCGTCTTTGCCAGTTCTTGATTCTTTCATATTATAGTTATTGTTATTGTTTCTCTGATCATTTTGTACGCCATTAACCATTGAACCGGACTTTCCTTTCGTTTTGCTAACAATGACATTAGAACCAACCATGGAGGAGATATCGCTCTTTGTACGTCTTAATTGAGGCTTTGGCATCCATGGAAGTAAGAACTGGTTTTGGCTGCCATTGCTGCTTTTATCATCTTTATTACTATTCTTGTCCTTATTAGCATGAGAATCTTTATTTTCTCCCATCATATGGCGATAACCAACGGCGGAGGCAGTTTGTGTATAAAGTGGCATGCTTTTCCTAGAAGCATCAAGAAAGGCCACACCAATATTGAGAATCCCTTGAGGGCGGCCAGAGCGGCGACGAACTTGAAGTGCAACGAATCGCATGCCGAGCTGAACGCCATGCTTTTGGTGTTTTTTATGCTCAGCCGGAGGAATGAGGTTTCCGACGATAACACGGACGGTGCCAACGTGTATATCGCGGAACCAACTGACGGCGTAAATCTCCACCATTATAGCTGAGGTCTCACGATACAAAAACTCATCGTCTACACGGAATACAAACTTATCATTCCATGTAGGATTGTTATGGCTATAAATGTCGAGTCTAGTAGAAAGTTTGCGCTCAGGGTGCACCCATGCAACGGCGTAGGTTCGCATCTTACGTGACACTTGGGCTAGGTCTTGGCCGGAAATCACATTTAGCTCCAACAATTGAAATGGCTGAGGAATTACACGTGACATTGTAAAATTTTGTTGTTGTTTCAGTTCTTGATGATGGCGGTGGAGAAAATAGATCAAAGGAGGTCCCGCTCGCCGTCCAAAAAGAGGACGATGAGGGGAGAAAAATCCATAATATTAGTTAACTATTTGGGAATGAGTTCCTCTTCCTTTTTCTTTTTTCGTGTGAAAGAGAAAGAAACGAAACCAATGGAGGAGGTTCCGTTGATATATATAATTTGGGTATTTTTGAGGGTGTTTTTGGAAATTATTTGAAAGGAAAAATGGTAAGAAAGTAATTACATCATCAAGTGTTGAATAATGACGGGATTAAAGCTAGATAATTAATGTTTAATTAGGTATTTCTACTAGTAGTGCTTTTCCGTAATTCAGAGTTACATACTATATTTAGCATTAAACTCACTATAATTAGAGTATATATATATATGCCATCAGTCTTTTAATTTCTAGTAGCTTCTATTTTCCCTACGAATTTTAGACAATAATGGGCTTTGCAGCCCATTGTATAAGACAGAGCAGGCTGGGCTAACGTTTTAAAACTTGAGATTCGTTTGTCCATACAGTTCCTTCCCGTAAGCCCATTTGGTTTTAAGTGACTTTTTTAATTAACAATTAGGGTTATTTTAAGATTTATTAATAATAAATTTTAAGATACATTTTCAAAAACAAGAAAAAAAACTTTAAGATACAGAAAATAAGAAAAGAAAAGAAAATAAATGAGAGAGTACAGGTGGCACTACTGGCAAGTCCCATGCCTTCCCATGAAACATCCAACTCCAACCGACCTTTCACCAAAACCGAAAAGGCAAAAACACTTCAAATCTCTTTCTTTTCATCTCATTTAAATCACAAATATGGTATAAATAATTTAAAAAAATAAAAATAAAAATGGTTACCGGCTTGGATCACAAGAAGAAGAAGCTCCTTTTTGGGGAAACGGCAAGGAATCACGTGCATCTTGCTAACTACTCAAGCTTCTAGTTTCTACATTTGACATGATAAATATTGATGTTGATTTTTTTTTTTTTTTTTTTGCATCTCATTGTAAATCACAAATTAATGGTTAGTAAATAATTTTAAAAAAAATAACATACAAAATGGTACCGGCTGGATCACGAAGAAAGACGAAAGCTCCTTTTTGGAAACGGCAAGGATCACGTGCATCTTTGCTAACTACTCTAAGCGTTCTAGGTTTCTACATTTGACATGAATAAATATTGATGTTTGATTTTTAGTTTTTTTTGATTTTTTTTTTTTTTTTGAGAAATATATATTTTTTAATCTAATTGTGAAAAAGATAGAGTTTGAAGTATTGATTTATAAGTAAAGGCTTGATCTCTCATTTCTCAATGAAGCATTTTCTTTCTAGATAGATTTGGTTTTCATTTATGAACTGTAATAAGATCCAACTCTCCTCAGTCTAAAGTCAATGGCTTACATTTTTAGGATTTCAAGAAAGATGAAGTTCTCTATTACAGATTCAAGAAAATGCTTCTAAGAAGCGCATCAAACCCTTTAATCAAATCTCTTCTTTCACCATTCTCAGGCAGCCTTAATCCGGACATTGATGCCAAACATCATCTTTCCTCTAATATTCTACCACACACAGATAAAGAAACCATTAGTCTTCGCCACAAAGGATTTCGAAGAGCTTTCTCTGATAGTAACTTAGAAAAATTAGTTTATCCTGATAAATTGGAAGAGCTTCATTTTTCGAACAAGCCAAAAAAATTCCCAAAAAGAAATCAAAAGACCATGTTGAGCAGTGTACCTTCTTTTTCAATATTTAATGTGAATGATGAGCTAGAAGATGCGGAGAACAATGGTGGAGAAAGGGAGGGTTTGATGAGAACTGTTACTATTGGAGAGAGTATAGAGGCTAAAGGTGATGAAGAGTTTACTTTTGGAAAGAAAAGTATGGGGCTTATAGAAGAGGAAGGAGAGGAGGAACAAGAAGGAGATCTGAATGGAATTGAAAATATTAATCTTGATGAAGTAAAAGAACCTGTTAGTCCTCCAATGTATCTTGCTTCAGGTCTTGGGATTGATGGCCATGATTGTGGTGGCCGCGGCGGCGGTGGCGGTTTTGATATGGCTTTGCCAAACTTTGATGAAAGTGGTGATCTTGAAGAGTATTATAAGAGGATGATTGATGAGTATCCTTGCCACCCTTTGTTTCTTGCAAATTATGCTCAGCTTTTGCAGGTGAGATTAGTTCTTTTCCTTTCCTTTTCTCTATTCTAATTTTCGAACCCTAATTTTATATATTTTTTGCTTTGATTTCTTGAAACATTATTGCTTGATGTAAATAAGATCTGGCCTTGTGTTCTTCCTAATTACTACTATTTTTGCCTATCAGCTTCTTTGTTTATAGACCTCTTTCGTTAAAGTAATTTTATCTACATCTTAAAAATCATCAATGTTTGATGAGTTCAGATCTCCCAGTGATCCCAATTATGCAATTTCTAATCTTGCAATTGTCAATTGATATCCAAAAGTAATAAGCCCAAGATTGTTGATTTTGTAATTTAAAAATCATTATTGCATTTATGGGGTGAGCATTTAGAAGATAATTCTTAAATTGAGCTATTTTGCCATCTTACTTCACAGAGTAAGGGAGACCTTCATGGAGCTGAGGAATACTATCATCGTGCCAGTCTCGCGGACCCAGGAGATAGTGAAATTTTGTTGAAATATGCTAAACTAGAGTGGCAGCTGCACCATAATCAAGATACAGCTTTGAGTAACTTCAAACATGCTGTTCGGGTTGCCCCTCAAGATAGGTGAGCAGAATTTCAAACTTGCGGTTGAATTTTACATCATAATTTGAGGATGATCAGGAATTTTCCTTTTCTCATTTTTCAGTCAGGTTCTTGCAGCATATGCCAGTTTTCTCTGGGAAATAGATGATGATAAGGAAGAAGATATACAACAGCTACAGCATATTAAGGTGCTAAAATAATGCAAATCTCTGATAAGTCATATAGCTTTTATGGATGCTTCATTAGTTGATCGTATAAATTTGTCATAGGTTGAAGAAGAGGAACATCTAACTAGACTTGTTAACTCAGCTGCCAATCAAGATTTTGAGCTGTTGCAGCTTCCGCCGTCTATGCTTGCGATTGATGTGGCAGATCATGCTACATCTGATATTGATAAAGGCATCGATGTCGATGAGTATTATAAAAGGATGCTCGAGGAAAATCCTTATAGCTCTTTATTGCTAAGCAATTATGCTCAATTCCTGTATCAGGTGAGCTGTGGGATTTGTATTAGTTTCGCCTATGAGGATTGCGTTTGATCTTCTTGCATTTCTTTACTGGAGTCTGTTTCTATCTAGCAGTCGAAGGGAGACCTTTCAGGTGCAGAAGAATATTACTCTCGTGCTCTTCTAATTGAACCTGGGGATGGTGAAATTATGTCACGGTATGCAAAACTGGTGTGGGAACTTCATCGAGACCATGATAAAGCCTCGAGTTATTTTGAAAGAGCAGTTCAAGCCAAACCTGAGGATAGGTAAATATGATTCATATCAATGCATACCTGATAAAAGCTGCTTAATTGGTTCATAGCTTATCCTCACTGTTTCTTTGCCTGTTCTTTCTTTTCCAGCCATGTTCTTGCAGCATATGCTAGTTTCCTATGGGAAACAGAAGAAAATGAAGAGGATAGCACAAATCCAGATCAGTTTCAGGAGGCCACCCACCATCACCACAATGGTTCTGCAACTCCGGCAGCTGCTTAACGATGACATTAATTATCTGACGAGCAACCACATCGTAATTTTTCTCGTATGCTAAATAGCAAAACAGAGCCAATACTGTACCATTAGAAGAATGAATAAAGGTTATTATTATTATAGAGGCATCAGCCTGTTCTTCAAGTAACTTAATGATTAGAAAATACAAATTCTAAGTATTAATGACATGAAGCATGTCTCAATAACTATTGACTGCCTTTCTTTTTGTCTTGTCAATTGAAGATATACAGTATGCCACAGGATCCTTAGCATTCAGGCAAAAAATTATCGATGGTCTAAGCCTATATGTTCCACTCAATAGAAATGAATCCATCTCATCCAACTCAATAACTTTAGAAGTGCTAGACTTTACATGATCAAATGGTCTCAAAATTGCAAACAAATTGCCCATAAAATTTGAACATTCATTAATCAAGAAAGCCCGTGAATCATATTGCCTGACACATCTAAGTCAACCTGACTTTAAATAATATAAATTATATTTCTTGAAACTAATAAAGTGAATGGCATAGTTGAAATGGCTAGACCCAAAACTTTGTTCTCTCTCTATATCTCTCCCCGTTTATTTGGAAAACTAAACTGTCTGCTCTGATTGATTTTGTCCACTTCTTGATACTTGGTAACCGTTAGACCCTCTATCCTGGCGGGGAGTTGGCCTATAGTAACCATTTCCTCTTGATCTGTTATAGTCTCGATCACCTCCGTCGTAGCTTCCACCCCTGCCAAAACTTCTGCCACCAAAACGACCTCTTGGAGCATCTGTTGGATAGCTACCCCGGCCTCTACCCCTTCCTCCTGTTCAGAATATTTCAATCACAAAATTGTAGTAGCAGAGATATTCTATAGAAAGGTCATCTTACAGTTGCTTATTTTTAATGCCACATTATCAATATGGAGATTAGACATTTGTTGCAGAAACGCTACAGTTATGGAAGCAGATAAAATAACTAAAAGATTTTGATAAAAATCATACAGACTGTGTGGGCATCCTAGACATTATGTGGCCAAAATATTCTGACGTGCCAACTAGATTTATAATCTTATCAAGATTAAGATTCTCAGAAGATAAGGATTTATGACCTCAAAAATCTAATGTTACCGCAAATTACATGACAGAAGCATACCTATAGCCAACTCTTCCCTATATTCAATAAATTTCTCTTCATATAATTTCAGGTGATCAACTGTACTAAGAAGCAACACACCCTAGGTGATCAAACAATACTAAGAAGCAGCACACCCTAAAAATATACTAAGAAGCACACTGCGATAGCTGATCAGGTCTCAATGACCTAGAACAAGTGGCAGGGGAGTTGGAATTGGTAGGACACATGAGAAGCCACATGATTCAACAGTTAATCAGCAAGTGAACAGGGAGCATAAAATAAATATAGATGATGGTAAGATAGTGAATAAAAATGCATACTTCCTGCACGGGATGGGATGTTGCTATTTGGTCTCCGCTCTTCAATGTATACCTGCCGCCCGGCAACATTTGCACTGCCCGCCTGAAGACATGATGGAAAATGCATTAAATACAAAATCCAGTGAAGTGACTTGCTCATATGAACATATACGGACATATAACCTAGCAGCCACAAAAATATGATAACAAGAAATTGCAAACTGAAATGGTGGTCATAGTAAGCTCAGAAACTATATTGGGAAGCAACATTAGCAGACATCTTATAATACTCGAAGGAATGGCAAATTTCAGTGCTCCTTGATCAACTTATGAAAAATCAGAAACAATGAAACGTCCAACAGAAGCAAACCACCACCTACTGGCTTCAGAGAAAATATGAAGAAATAATTGTTCTTCATTAAAAATTAGCAAGTTAAGGGACTGCCAACCACTGAAAAGTGATCAAATTAGAAAAATAGAAGAAAAAAAAAACAAAAATAATTGGAATTGGAACATCCAGCAAGGATCCAAGAAGTCAGCTATGAACTTTTTTTTTAATTGAAAAAGAAACTGTGAGCACTGCAGATCAATAGCCAGAATTCTCGATTTATTAAATTAATAAACTAATTCCAGGAAAAATTGACACAAAATAGGAATGCAGTTTGAATGTTTTTAGTCAGACCTTGACTGCATTATGAACACCAGTCATCTCTTCAAATTCAACAAATGCATAACATACACCAACATCCTGCATATAATTTGTATATTAAAAAATAAGCACAATAAATATAAGGAATGAAGCAGGTAAATGCTGTTACAACAAAAGCCAGGATTGAACCTTGCGACTTCGAATGACAACACCATCAGGGGCAATTTTGCCAAAATTCTTGAATTCCTCCTCAATTTCAGCTTCAGATACAGTAGTTGGCAAGTTTTTTACATAAACAGATTTTATTTCATCTAAAACATTCAAATAAAATGAAAAATAAATCAATGTGAGGAGCTGAAAAAACTAAAAAATAAAATAAGGTAAAAAAAACCCTTGTCACTTTCATCTCAAAATTATTAAATATGAATATGTTTCAAATTGAACAAAAGACAACCATATTATGCACTGTAATGAAGAAAAAATATGTTTTTATCATGTCAATAATCATACTGTCATAGAATATTTACTGAAACATCGATTACTGAATGACAAGAGGCAAATATAAAGGATGACAACAACTGACCAGCATCTTCTGCAGCTGAAATCTCCTCCATAATGTCAGCTCCAGACATCTCAAATGAATTTGATGTTGCAGTTGCTTGCTGAACCTGTGGAGCATGATTCCAATCTGAAGCAGGTGGTGCATTTTTGTTCAAAGACTGGGGAGCAACTGATGGTGCAGATTGTCCCTTAGCAACTCGCAACTTACAATGACAATTTAAGAAAAAGAGAAGAGGACAGGGGGAGAAAAACGTCAGTCTCCTGTGTAAGATGAACCTTTAATTCTAACATATACAATATGAGAGCACAAATAGCAATATATACTGAAAAAACAATATAACTACCATGCATAGAAACATACAATAGAAGCATAAGTGTGTTTGTGGGGCTCTCCAGTAGCTTCCTCAACAGGAGGCAACTGGTCTTGCACGGTGTTCACTGTGTTTTGAAGTGAACCATTTGAGTCAACAGAATTTTCCTCCTGAACAATTTCAGACTCAGGGATTTGCTGCAACCGTTGCTCTGGGAAGCTGTAGTTGTCAACTGGACCATTTTCCTTAGGATCAGCAGGAGCAACAAACTCCCTACTCTGGATTTCTCCTCCCAACAAATAGTTTGAAACTGCATAAATCATCACTTCATGAGTGAAAAAGGTTCATTTAAAAACATAATAGTTACAAATCTAAAAGAGAAGAACTCATTCCAGTATCAAACATTCGTTAGCATAAAGACCCTCAAATTATAGTCTATAGCAACCAATATTGATTACTGACTTAAAAAAAAAAAGGTAAAACTAGTCACTAATCATTGTAATTCGATCTCATTCACATGAGCAGATTCTGAGTGCAGCTATCCATTGAAGAGAACTGATATAATCACCATTTCCCATACTTGTAGAACAAAACGTGTAAAGCAACAGAATCTAGAATTCAATATTTAGCCCAGGTTAAATTATGATACCTGGCTCTAGAATAGTAGCAGGAACATTGATTTTGGAATCAATATTGTTCTGAGATAGTAAGACAGCTGGATGGTGTTGAATTGGTTCCTCATCAATGAAGTGGAAAACATCATTGAGAACAAAATAGCCCTTATCCTGAGGTGCCAGGAAAAATGTTTCAACAAATTTCCTCCTTCCAGTAAACTCCTTCACTTGCACAGAACCATAAACCATCACAAGAACACCTCCATTCCACGACTCCAAGGACTGTGCTGTCCTTATTTCAATTCCAGCATAGTTGAGAGACATAATAAGTGCATGGATTTGCTGTCAAAACAGAAAAGGAAAGAGAAACATATTAGCCAAGTGTGTTCCATTTGGCACATATGCAGAAGCAGAGATTGCATTTTCAGAACAAATAAATAAATTTAAAAAGCAGACATGAATATAAACAAGCTAAACAGCTGTGAAGCACAAAGCCTCTTAATCCATCTGGGAATATCATACTTAAATTTATAGGTGGCATTGAGTGGCTTCTAGGAAAGTATTGTCTTTAGAGGTGTTGTTCTCAAAGAGTTGTATTCAGATAAAAAAAAAAAACAAAAGGATAGCATTCCATATAAAGAAATGCTGCTAATGATGAAAATGGATTAATACATTCTTAAGCACAGAGACAATTGTTTGCTGAATGTACTTGTTTGAGGACATTGATCTTTTTTCTCATTAAGATGATTGACTTCATATTGAGAATGGAAATAGCTGTTCTTCTCACACCTAAAAACACACGCTTCCATAACTCATTGTCTGTTTCTAAAGTTTATAGCCACAAAATGCAGTGCACACGTCGACAGTTGTCGTATTAAACAATAAGGTTATCTAAGGTCACAATTTGAATTGTTGTAGCTATAAATGCACATATAAAACACTATCATGATTAAAGGAGAGTATCCTACAGTCCCCAAAATGTAGAAATCAAGAAAAATAGTTAGTCCAAAGCCGCTAGTGTTCCAACCCCATGAGTCAAAATGAGGCGCTAACTACACATTATAAAATCCATTTATCCACAAAAAGCAATCAGCAAAGAAAAACGCTTGCATGCGTATTAGCAGAGAATTTTTGGAAGAAATTAACACGAAAAAGAAAGCATTCAAGTCAATTTTTCAAACTCCAGTTTTCATAAAACCTACTTGAACTGAATTAGAAAGAAAGACACAAACTATCATATATAGAGAGAAAAAAGAACATACTCTTAAAAAATTAATAAAGGAAAACCTACTTTTGACAGCATATTAACACTAGAAAAAAAAAAAAAAAAAAAAAAAAAAAAAAAAAAAACGCTTCTCCATAACCTACACAATTGTTCTGTTAACTCTAGAAAGTTTATAGCCCACAAAATGCAGTGCCACACGTCGACAGTTTTGTCGTATTAAACATAGGTTAGATCTAAGGTCACAGAATGTTTGAATTTGTTGGTAATTGCTATAAATGCACATATAGAAACACTATCATGATTAAAAGGGAGAGTTATCCTACAGTCCCCAAATAGTAAGAAATCAAGAACAAATTAGTTAGTGCCAAAGCCCGCTAGGTGTTTCCAACCTCTCATGAGGTCAAATATAAAGGCAACTGGCGCTAACTACACATTACACCAAATCTCATTATCGCTGCCACTAAAAAGCAAATCAGCAAAGAAACTTGCATGCGTATAAAGCTAAAGAGAAATTTTTGAAGAAACTTAACGAACAAAAAAGAAAGCCATTCAAAGTCAATTTTTCAAACTCCAGTATTTCATAAAACCTACTTAGAGAGAAAGCTGAATAGAAAAGAGAAGAACACAAAGCTAAAATCATATATAATAGAGAGAAAAAAGCAACATACTGCTTTAAAAATTAGATAAACGATAAAACCATACTTTTTGAAACAGCATATTAACGACTATCGAAAAAAAAAAAAAAAAAAAAATATAAATAAAAAAAAAAAAAAAAAAAAAAAAAAAAAAAAAAAAACATAAACGAGAGAGAGAGATACGAGCATTGTAGTGGCGTTATCTCTGTTGGCGCCATCGATACGAAGCATAATGCTGGCATCGCTGTAGAAGTGGTAAACAAGTTCCGGCTGTTGCTGTAGTAACTGATAGTACTGCCCCACGAAGTACGTCCCAACCTACATATAATACAAAAATAAATAAAAGCTATAAAAGGTTGGCCATATTTTCTGAGAAAAACACCAAAATAAAATAGCAGAAAGAGAGAAACAGAGTAAGAACCTGAGCAGCAGTGACAGGAATGGGATACGGAGTCGACATTTCCAAAGAAAAGCCAGTAAAAGAAAAAATGAAAACCAAAAACAATAAACCCTAATAGATCCAGATATGCCCCTCCTCAAAAGATCTGCAATAGCCACACCATCAAAAACCCTGCATGAGCCGCACAAACTGAGTACACTAGTAGGAATAGATAGGCAGAAAATGAGAGAGGAGAGGGAGAGGGAGATCTGAGGTGCTTAAATATGTAATAATATACAGTAGAGAGAAAGGGAAGATACCTCCCGGAGGGATAGATTTGAGAGAAGATTTTCTCCACTGGTTTGTTTTTGTTGGCTTTTTGCGTGTTGGGGTTTTTGTTTTCTTTCTTTTTGCTGCTGTTGTTATGCGTTTGGGTGTCACTCCTGCCCTTTCCTTTTCTTTTTCCCTTTTTCTATTCTTTTCCTTGCTTTTTTATTAGTCGTCCAAACAAAAGGTGCGTAGCTGGTCTCTGCCGCTCCCTCCCGTCTTCCCACTTCAATACTCTCTTAAAATTAATTAATTAATTAATTAAAATACGTAATATACGGTCCACTTCTAAAAATATAAACAGCACCTAATATTAATAATTATAATTATATATAAATAAATAATTTAATCAATTATAGTATTATATGTATTTAGAATTTATTGTTTAATGATTTCCTTCATACTCCTTGTCAAAAAAATGATTTCCTTCATACTTGGGTAATTATTTTTATTATTAATACTATCAATGTAAGATTCTTGTTCAGCTTGATATTTAAGGGAACTAATAAACGGAAAAAAAATATTTATGACTTGCCTAGTGGACTTTTTATATATGGGGATTACTTTCCATGAACGATGGAAAGTAAGCTTTTTTTTAAAGAAAAAAAACAATTTAATTAAACTAATCAAAGGTTAAATTTTAAAAGAAAAATACAAATTTGCAATCTAAATTTAACATTATCAAAGAAAAACTTTGTATATTGTTTAATAAAAAAAATCTCAATAACATAATTTTCAACAGGAACAGAATCAGAAAATCCCAATAAATATAGGCTAGAATAACATAAATATGAAAAAAGAAGGAATAAATAAAATAAAACCTTTATTATGTTTTACTAATGAATGGAAAACTATCTAAAAATCCCTGAAAATAATAAATTTTATATGGAGTATCTTTCTTTTTAATTGCTAGAAATTTTACAAATCACCCACTTGCCATTTTGAACAGAAAATTATATATAGAGTTGACATTTTCATATCTTTCACATTTCATATTCAATAGAAATTTTGTGCAAATTGCAATACTTTCAGATTTATTATATGAGAAGGCATTATATTGCATTTGTCTCTTGTTTATTTCGTTTAAAGGAGGAAATTGCACATTACATATTTCCACCATTGCAGGGCATATTCAAGGTTTATACATATATATTGAAACTTCTGGGTTTCCATCTGTTAATTGGCAAGAAGAAGTCAGAAACAAAAATCTGAAGCCTACTTGAAAGAATTCAATAATAGTAAATATTCAAAAAAAATAAATAAATAAATTATGACATTTTATAAAAAAATTATTGACAAATAATTCCTCGCCAATCATCAAAACTAAACAGGTTTCCTCTACAGAATTAATAACTAATGCCATTAAAAATTTACAATGAAAAAATTTCATATTATAGCATATTTATTTGCTTAAAGAAATAACTACAGAATTTTCATAAAAAGTTCCGCTCATAAAAGGATAAGAAAACAAGGACTGTGTACAGAATTGATTAGAAATGACGGGTTATTAGTTTCAACTTGCAGACTGAGATTGCATTTTCCTTCCATTTCTTTAGAAATTAATCTTATTGTTGATCTTGAAATCAGCATTTTTATGACTTTTTGCCTTGAGCTAAACTTACACGCATTGCTCTCCCCTCGAGTTCCTGTAATACCAATACAAATAGGCTGTGATTATTCTAATAATGGTAACTGATATGAGAATTTACAAAAGAAAGTTTATATATACCACTCCATTAAGAGATTCAATGGCATTTTCCATTTCCGATCTTGTTGAGTAGCATACAAAGCCATAGCCTCGCGACCTTCCAGTCTCCCCATCATAAAGAACTCTAGCTCCAACTACAGTTCCATATTCTTGAAAAGCTCGAGTCAAACTTTCTGATGTTACCGACCATGATAAATTCCCAACAAAAAGCTTGTGTTCTGTTTCTGGGTATAAAGGTTCTTTTGGTTTAGGTTTGTCTGCAAAGTTCACTCTCAAGATTCTACCCATGTATTGCTGTAAAGTAGACAAATTATGGGTCTTGAAGCTTCAAGTGCAAGGAGTTACTAATAAAATGCAAGTACACACATAGCCAAAGAAAGAAGAAAGAAAGATAATTCTTACACTTCCATCAAGATTTTCAATAACTCTATTACAATCTTCAACGCTGCTCATTGTCACGAAAGCAAAACCTCTACTTCTTCCGGTGTCCCGATCATAAAGAACCTAAAATCATTCACATTATTTAGTACAAGAAAGCTCTATAGGATGTTTGAGGCCAAAAATGATACAAATGTCCCTATGCATGTCTCCTGGTGTCCCCATCATGAAGAGCTCATGCTATTTAGTTGGTCCGTTGAGGAATTTGTCAAAAATATGGAGACAAACAAAATAGAACAAAACTTTAAATTTCAGAATCTTTAGAAAGCATTTTTTGCAATTATAGGCATATGAAACAGTCAAGTTCCTATGACTAGAGGATTTAGACAATCAATATCATGTGAAAATATGAACTTAAAGATGGAATGTAAAGGGGCTATGTAATTTTCTCTAAGACAAAAGGAACTGATAGAGAAATGAGCTAATTGTCACAACTTGCAACGATAAAACTCAATAACAAACCCATCAAACTTGCATAGCTGCCATAAATCCATTACCATTTAATTGGGCCAATTTAACATTTCATGGCTATCATGGTTTTCATTCATAGAACACAAAATATCCTCATTTCCCAACACACTATATATCAAGATTTCGAATGCTGCTTTGGAAGATTTTCCAAAAAATCATGTTTCTCAGGCAGCAGTTTATCTTAGCTACCTCAATCACATTAATTATTTTCTCTGTTTATTAATCAATCCATCTATAGCAAGGAACCAAAATTAAGAATAACCAGATCAAGCCAACATAAAGATTGATACATGTCAATCAGATAAGATAGCTTACATATATTTAATTTAAAAAAATTATAAGAAAAAAAGAATTAAGTAATTAGATACAAATTAAAATCAGGTACTTGATGTTATAAATATACAATACCTCAACCAATTCAGGAGCACCATATTCTTGAATAATACCAGCAAGCTGTGCACTGTCAACATTGTAAGGCAAATTCCCAAAGTAAAGTTTAGTGTTCAAAGGAATTTCCGCTTCTCCTTCACCTTCTCCTGCTACTTGTTGCTGCTGCGCCTCCTCTTCCACAGCAGCGGTTGGTGCAGCCTTCTCCTCTTCCACAGCAGCGGTTGCTGCAGCCTCCTCCTCTTCCACAGCAGCAGTTGCTGCAGCCTCCTCTTGAGCAACAGCAGCGGATACTCTTGGCACACGCCACGAAACTGCAACAAGCGATGAAATGGGTTCTATAGCATAAGAGCGAGAGATGGAAGATGCAGTAATAGCGAGTCGAGTAGTTGAAGGAAGTTTAAGGAGAGAATCGGATAGAAAATGCTTAGAATTGGAGCATTTGCGATTGTGAATGGATGGAGAGAAAGATGAGGCTACGGTCGCAGCAGCAGCAGCAGCAGCAGCAGCCATGATTGTGGTAGTTTTTTGCAGGTTATTGTAGGAAGTAGGAAGGGAAAGGGTGCGAAGGTGCGGACTGCAGAGGAAACTGCTTACGGACAGGGGAAGTGTAAGTCTATCTAAGCTGATGTGGGCAGATTCTGTCCAATGACATTTGTTAGCGCTGTGTTTTGGGATAAGGCTACTTCGCTTGGGTTTTAAATCTGCCAATTTAAGTTAATATTTTACTGTTTTGTTTAAAGAATTTGGTTATACATTTTAAAATAATAATTACAAATATTATACGTGCACTAAAATAACTAAAATGGATAAAATAGAAATAGAAAATGTTCAAATACAACAAAAAAAAAAAAAAAGAATCTTAGGTTGCTGCTTGCGCCATCCCTCTTCGCGTTATCACAATGACGAATGCGCCGTTGTGTGCAAGCCTATTCCTCTCATAACGTCCACTCTCGGCCAGCCATGATTCCCCAAAGACGATGTTGCCTGACTAGCGAATGTGAACTCACAGTGCCTCCCTGGCTTCCTCCGCCACGAGCAGCAGGTTGCTGCGAGGTGACCTGCGGCGTTTCTTTGTATTAGGCGAATCCAGGCAAGTTCAGGCCGGGATACTCTTGGCACAGCTTAGTCTCAACACGAATCAGTGCACTGCAAAAAGAGGCTCACCAGACTCATGCGAATTGGTGAGTGTCATTGCCTCATTTCAAAGCCCATTTAGGCAATGAAGTCAGTCAACGAGAGGATCATGAGATAAAGAACAGTGTGGCAAAAGATTTAACCAAACCTTTTCTGAACGGAACTTAAGGCCGAGGCACCAAGAATTTAACATTGCCACCCATACCAAAATATAGTAAACTATCCCACACCTCCACAATCCCTCAGACAGGTGACTGCCCATCAAGAGTAGTTGAAAGGCGAAAGGTTTAAGGGCCCAGGGGGAGTATTCCGGATAGGAAAATGCTGGTTTAGTAATGTCGGATATTTTGGCGTGGATTTATGCAGGTAGTGTTTTTGAATGCCCGGAGAATGGACTGGATAGAAAGATGAGGTGGGCTTACTCTCGCAAGAAGCGTTCGGAACAGACATGGAGGAAAAGCATGAGTGCTCGCCCTAAAGCATGGGGCTTTGAAAGACCCAATGCCGTTGGAGCCATGATGTGGAATTGATTTGCGCGTAGTTTTTTGCAGGTTATTGTAGGGAAGTAGAAGGGAAAGGGTGCGGAAGGTGCGGACTGCAGAGGAAATGCCTTTAAAGCCCCAGGACCAGGTGGGGGAGAAAGATGTGAAAGAAATAGAGAAGTCGGCTTGGTTGAAAAATTTTTGAAATTGAGGTATCTAAAGAGAGCTGAGTGTGTGGGCCACCAAGTTCCTGCTGTCCGGATTATCGAACATGTGTGTAGTGGAGGCGCTGTGTTTTGAGGATAGAGGCTAGAACGCTACGGAGCTTGAGAGTAATTTTAAAGAAAATGCTGACCAGACATGATTAATGTTCCCATAGACCTTATGAGCCGATTCCAAAAGAAGTTTTGGGCTTTGAATTTGTTTTAAACCCGAATTTAAGGGAGTACCTACCAATTTAGCGATTTTTTTAAAAATAATTATAATTTTAGTCAAAGATTTATTGTTTATACAGTGCAGCGTAAATGTTATAAACAATAAATGAAGGTTTATAAACGGTCAGAATACTACCAAGGAAAAGACTTGAAACCCCTGTTATCAAGCCACTACAACTTATAGTGAAAAAAAAAAATGTAATAATCACAAGATAACCGAAAATTGCTACCAAGTACTCAAAGAGGAGGATATTACTGTAATTCCACATGGAATATTGGGAGAATAGAGCTGCCAAAATATAAAGAAGAAGAATAAGGACAAAATACAAGCTTATAATACAATTGGTGTTTGTATAGAAGACGAGATAAAACATTTGTGGCTCCCAAAAGGAAAAATAAAGAGGAATGAAAAGGATACAAGATGAATAAAGAGGGAAAATTTTCAAATGGCTACAAATATATAAGATAAGGCCTATTACTATTGTATAAATATGTTGGTGTAGAAAAAAAAAGATTTAAGAGGAAAAGTTTGTAAGTCAATACTAAAGAAAAATAATTCAAAGCGGATGAATAGGCAACAGTTTTTATATAAGGTTTAAGCAATGTATATTATTAAGTAAATTTTTTGGTAGTCTTTAGTCAGTTCGTTCTCTGCAAAAAGGAGACATAAAAAATTAGGTGCTAACAATTTTATATCATTCTTAATTGGAATGTGTGAACTGAATAAAGCCATTCTAAGAGAGCACAGAGAAATATCGCTATTGTTTCTATGAGAGGTATATGAGAAGAGTGTGGTTAGATTATGTTAAGGTTGCTCACTTCCCTCTAGTATAACTGGTAGTGAGCGGGTATTCGGATCAAATGTATTGATTGAACAGCTGGTGCCTTATGAGATTTAGTGAGTTTATCACACCCAGCTCTTTGAATTTCCGAATATCTTTCCTCTCCGATCGCACGAAAAGTTAATAGGTAATGAATCAACTATCCCAGACGTCCAAATGTGAACTTCCTTATCCAGGGTGTGTCGTGAGAGTCTTTCCAGTAAAAATGGAGCGAAATGAACCAACGTATAATGTTATGAATATAGGTAGGCTCGGAGTGATGAGCGTCTACCAATTTGGCATTTTTGTGGTATGGCCCAAATAACATTTTGAACATAAAATGCTAGAGTACCTAAATAAATTTATTTTGTAAGTTTGGTAAGTACGCAGCATAATGGTAGTGCCCACGATTTAATGTGTAAGAGGTCACCTCTAACGGATTTTTGGATTAATACCAGAGCCTAATTCGACGAAGCAGCCCGATGTCGTTCTTAAATGCTTTTTAGAGGAATAGGCATCGTTATTTTTTATCCCAAGTCTGGAGTGCACATAAAATGTCTGTTTTTTTAACGAGCGTCATCTCAATATTTAACTAAATTAGTTTTGCACCTGTTTTAGTAGTTTTTTTAGTCTAGTTGTCAATGCGGTGAACATTTGTGTTAGTGAGGGTCCTCCGTACAACCTCATCTGCTCCTCTGCCTATCTGACTCCCGCTGCGTGCATAACCACAAAAAGGTGTGAAGGGCCCCTATCAATCCCTCCTTGTCGGGTCTCTAAACCACAATTGCCTCAAAATTTTCCCTCCTTATCCCCCTTAATTTTCATTTCACAAAATTTCTTACCAAACGTTCACCAATTTATGCGGTCAATTTCCGAGACACGTCCCACTGAACCTGAAACCTCTCAATTTCAGATCTCGTTAGACTTTACAAATGATAAAATACCTGGCACATGCGCTCATCAAGAAGAAGGATCTAGAACAAGAAAATGTGGACCATGTTGCGAAGTAGTTGAGTGAACGGCTCAATTAAAGAAATTAGTCGTGGTGTACTCTCGCCGTATAAGCTCCCCTCTTATCTGGGTTGATTTTTCCGATGGGTTGTCGGCCCTTTGGGTGGCAGTTAGAATTGAGTGCCGCAAACGCCATAGATGAAGTGCTCCTACCACTTGTTCTGATATTGACACCAAAAGTTGCAGCAAATGGTGCAACCCATGGGGATAGGGCCGCCTCTGATTTTTATATTCCCATAATGGAATTGTGGAATACAAATAAAGAATAATAGATAAGTGAGTTTCAAATAGCGCGGGTTGACGCAGTGTGTAAGAATGGCATGGGCTATGAGGAGCCTGAGAGATTTGCTTAAGGGAGGAGATGTTTGATAAGCATGGTTGGGCTCATGCTATTCCTAGAACACCCCGGGTTGTTACATGAATTTGAATTGCGGGTCATTATCGACGCCGAAGTACAACACGTGCAGTATCTGGGAGCTCTGATAATGACGAACTGGAGCAGTGAGAATATTTCAATGGGATTGCATTGGAAATGAGGGATAACATTCCGAGTAGTAAAATAAGAATTCATTAGAGAGAACTTGGATAATATTAGGATAAGGTCCGCGAGGTCCGTGGGTCCTATCCGAATAAAAGAGCAGAACCGAAGAATCAACACATAGTTGATTTGATGTTCTCTCTTATTTAATGTCCACCTCACATGGTGTCAGTTACATAAGAGGGGAATTCCCAAAAGCAAAGAGTAACTAAAGAGGATACATATGTTTTCCTTCGTGGTTCTAGGATTAATTCCTTCAATGAACCAGGTTACTTGGTTTGGGTTATGGTGGGGCACGCAAAACATTAGTGCCCAGATGGGTCTCCCCTGCGGAACACTCTTTACTTGCTTAAGCTCATGAGTTTTTTCGAAGAGATGCCTGTAAAAGAATGTTCGAGCTTGGTACGAAGCACCCTTTTTGATGGGTTGTTGAGTGGAGTATTAGGGACAAAAACCACACGATTTGCGGATGCATTTGGTTAGGCGTTGTCAGGGGATTTCAAACAAGAGTTCTATTTTAAAAGAGGTGAGGCAATGCCACGCGAAAATTGAGTGCACCAGGCGGGAGATTATGATGATATCCCGTAAGAGTAATGGTTAATTTGGACTTCCTTTGGATAGAAAGTTGGGTTGGAGTCCGCCAAAGAATGGGTCCTTTCCCCACAGGAAAAATGAGCGCTCTCAATGATGCTGTTAAGTTCTTCCAGGGGAGAATGCCCACAGAAACTAGTCAAAAGAAGTACCTAATGGGCCAACAAGGTGGTACTATCTCTCGCGGAGTCAATATAAATATAGATTTAACAGTGGGATGAAGAAAAAAAAAAAAAAAGGTGAAAACAATATTCAAATAATAGAGCTCCATATAGGATAGAAAATCTTATCATTTTTATGAAGAGATAAACATTGTGGCTAATAAGATAAATCAATAAAAATTTTCTATATATATATATATATATTTGAAAAAAAATTAGAGGAAAATTTGAATCTAGATGAATAGCAAGATTTTATATGTACTTATAATTAAATTATGTCTTATTGCTGAAAGAAAAATTATTAAATTATATTTTATAATTGAAAAAAATTAAGTATTGAGCATTGAAAGAGTGGAATTTAATATTTTATCGGGTCGTATATTGATTGTTATATATTTTACCAGCATTATCACACGTTATATATGAAAAAAGTAACTCCGGTGAGCTTAGTAAAAAAAATAATAATAATAATAACGATGATGAGCTAAATAATACTAATAATAATAAATTTTATTTTACGCAAATTGAAGTTTAATGTGTAAGAGGTCACGGTTTATACCGTTACAGGCGGTTATAGCTGTATATAGTCTATCGAATTGTCGTTTTTGAGCTCTCTCTTCACCTTTTGTTTTGCTTTTAAGCTAATGGAGAATGTCACCCATCTCTCGTTACTCCCGCCTGCTCAAAGTAAGCCAACTTCTCTCTCTAAACCACAATAAATCATTCTCTACCTTAATTTCAAAATTCTCCACACAAACTCCAATTTCCGAGACACTCCCTTACCTGAAACCTCTCAATTTCAAGATCTCTAACTACATGAAAAATGGCCTCATCAAGGAAGCAGAAAACATGTTCGAAGAAATGCCTCAAAGAAATATCGTTACTTGGAATTCTATGATCCGTGGTTACTTTCAGAATGGGCAACCGCCAAAGGCGCTTAGTTTGTTTGCAGCAATGCCTGAGCGCGATATTTATACATATAATATAGTGATTTCGGGGTTGACGCAGTGTGGTGATATGAAGAGTGCTAGGGAAGTTTTTGATGGGATGCTATTCCGAGACGTTGTTACATGGAATTCGATTATCGCGGGTCACGTTCATCTGGGGTTGATTGACGAAGCAGTGAGAATATTCAATGGGATGCCATTGGAAATGAGAAATGTAATTTCTTGGAACTTGGTCATAGGGGGGCTATTGAACGATCAACAAATTGATTTGGCTAATGAGTACTTTAGACAAATGAGTACTAGAGATATTGTTTCCTGGTTAATTATGATTACTGGTTTTGCAAGAGTGGGCCGCATTACTGAAGCTCATGAGTTTTTCGAAGAGATGCCTGTAAAAGATGTTCGAGCTTGGAAAGCCTTGATGGTTGGGTGTATGGAAAACCAGCGGATTGACGTTGCAGAAATTCTATTTAAAAGAATGCCAAAGCGGGATTTGGATTCCTGGAAGTATTTTATAAATGGGTTGGTGAGTTGTCAAAGATTCAATGATGCTGTTAAGTTCTTCAGAGAAATGCCCCAGAAATGTCAAAAGACATGGAACATAGTTCTATTGGGATTAATAAGAAATGGAAATGTTGAAGCAGCTCATGGGTTCCTTGAGAAACTTCCGTATGGTGACATTTTGTCATGGACAAATGTTCTTGTTGGATATTTTAAAGCAGGTGAAGTTAGCAGTGGTATTAGACTTTTTGAGATGATGCCAATTCTAGATACAACAGTATGGAATGTCGTGATATGTGGATTAGGAGAAAATGGTCATGGCGAGGAGGGTCTCAAAATTTTTGTTAGAATGAAAGAGTTAGGATCATCTTCTGACAAAGCTACACTTACTAGTGTTCTGACTATCTGTTCAGACTTGCCTGCGTCGTATCTTGGTGACCAAATCCATGCGGAGGTAATTAAAACAGGCTTTGATGATGTTACTGAAGTATCTAACGCAACGGTTACCATGTACGCAAGGTGTGGAAACATGCACTCAGCATTGAAGGAATTCACTTCCATGTCAAGTCATAATATCATTTCTTGGAATTCCATAATCTGTGGATTTGCTCACCATGGATTTGGTGAACAAGCTATAGAGATGTTTGAGCAAATGAAATTAACTGATGTTAAGCCGAATCACATAACTTTTGTTGGTGTTCTGTCTGCATGTAGTCATGCAGGATTGGTGGATCAAGGCAGACACTATTTTGATTACATGAAAAACATTTGTCTCTTGCAGCCAACAAATGAGCATTATACCTGCCTTATTGACCTTTTGGGGAGAAATGGACTAATTGATGAGGCAATGACTTTTCTAAATCAAATGAGAGCAGATGGAATTGAAGTTCCTGCAAGCGTTTGGGGAGCTTTGCTTGGAGCATGTAGAATCCACAAGAACATTAAAATTGGTGAGGTTGCTGCTCAGAGTTTGTTGGAAATAGAGCCTAATAGGTCTGGCATATATTTGATTTTGGCAGAAATATACCAGAGTGTTGGAAGAAGAAAAGACGCAGAGCTGATTTCGGATAAAATGAAAGAGAATGGAGTCAAGAAACAACCAGGTTGTAGTTGGATTGAGGTAAACAACAAGGGGCATGTATTTCTTTCAGGGGATAGTTCACACCATGAATTCAGTAGAATTTGTCGTCTTTTACACTTGCTCCGTAAAGACATGGATGTCATGATCTCAAAATCCAATACTGCTCTCTTTTAGCAATTTCAAGTTTCATTAGATGGACCTTAAGGATGAATTTTGCTATCCATGCACTATATCAGACCTTCCAAGAGTCAATGAATAGATAATTAACTACAAGTGTTTATCTAAGTCCCCTTGAAACAAGACTGGGTTAGATATTGAGGGTTTAGGACAATACTATAGAACAGATACATGTATACTGATCTACGAGCAAATGAAATGGACTTTATCAGATGTTTTCCTTTAAGAACATATGGACGTATGTTGATTATCGTACAACTAACAGGAATATATTTGTTTATTTTAATAAATTTCGACGAAATAAATGATAATGTTCGCCAATATGAAATTATTTTAAAAATTAAAGGAAAATCAATTAAGTTTTTCTCTCTATGAACGAGGGAAAAAAAATTTTCAATGTCGTATGTGATTGATAAGAGTTTTCCTTCTTCCACTCTCAGCAAGAAAGTTCTCCGGTGATAGCCATTTTCTCCAGCAATTCCCGTCTCCGGAACACCATGCATCGTCAAATTCCATCCCATCTCCACTGCCACGCCATGACCTAATCCAATCTGTAACTTTTATCCGTCTCTTCTCTACAAATGAATAATTTTCTCTTTTTAACAGTTACAATGCCCAATTATTTCTAGAATACAATTACAGCCTTTGATGTTAGATTATAGAAGGTGCCTCCTTTTCTCCTTGTCTCTGTTTTGAAGCAATGGCAAGAAATGGCTATTACCTAAAAGCAGAAGTCTGGCACAAGCCATGACAGAAAAAACTTAATATTCAAGTAAATACTGAGAAAGTGGAAACAGGATAGCCTAAGAATATCGTTGAACTACATTGCCTCTTCACATGATTTTGTTTGTACAGAAGAAACATATAATAATAATAACAATAATAATAAAAGCATGTGGAGGAAACAAAAAGCTCTCTGTATGATTTACTTGTTGAGTATGAATGAATCCAGAGTCTATGATAACCGATATAAGCTATTAAATTCTTAGAGAACTTGGTTTTTTATTAGCAGTTAGATTTCTTCTCTGGCTTGATATTGCAGTAGCTGGCCCTGGCACTGGCCCTTTCTTTCCTTTAAGATCAAACTTTCTATCAGTATTGTTGTTGGATTTCCTTGTGTTTAAAGGACTTTCATCAACAGCTCGAGTCTGCACAACTTTACAGTGTGTATGTCTATTTTGTATGGAATTATGATTCTTCAATGCTTTGGGTTTATTTTTATTTCCAATCACAGCATCATTGTCTGAGCGCAAAATAAGAAAATGTCATGAGTTGGGGAATTTTATGCTATGAATTTATGTACAAGATTTGATACAAATAATAAAAGAAACCATATATTCATATCAGATGAACAGAAAATGAAAATTACCAGGGCTAGATATGACAGCACGTGGACGTGGGACTGAACTGGCTCTAATTTTTGGTCTATTCTCCTCATCAACATCGCCTTTCTTATCAGCTCCTGTGAATTAAACCGACACATTTATAAGAAATGAAGAAATAGAAACAAAGTGACTTCTTTTCAGAGACCAGCAGAAATTTTGGATCCGGAAATGGTATGAAAGTAAAAGTTTTTAACCTTCAGACGCAGATTCTGCAGGCAGTACTATGTTTGGCACATAAGATTTGGGAATTCTTGCAGTGGGAGTTGGAGAAACATCTTGGAACTCCTTCACTATGGATGATAAATGTCAGCAAGGAATTCTTGATAACATTTCATAATAACTGACATCAAAGCACTAACAATTCCAAAGAGCAAAGAGAGTCTTTTATTCCACAGGCAACAGTGAGAACTATTAGTAAACATATGATTTGAACCACAAAGATCTATTAGCAAATGGCAACATCATCCTCAATCAGTGAGAGCAAAACTATTGAATATGTTATAAATAATATAGCAGCAGAATTAATCAGTATGGTTCACTTACATCAAAACATGAAAAAAAAACTAAGCAAAGATTCTACCTTTAGCCTATATAGCTAATAAATACAAAGGAGATATAAAACCATGACATAAAATTTAAAAAGGAGTAAATGAAAATAGAGGAAACACAAGAGCAAGAACTACCTGGAAAACAAGAATCCTGTAATAATAGAAACTGGATATCCTTCAAGGAAAGCAAAGAACTCCAATTACGTTGATCCTTTTGGTCTTCATCCCTTCTTACCTTAACCTTCGGATACACTGAAAAAAATTGCAGGAAAAAGAATACCCATATTAGAAAACAGCAATATTATTTCATTAAAATTTTAATTTCAAAAGAATTAGAAATCTCATATGGGAAAACCTACTGTTATACTCCTGTATTGAATAAAGAGAGTTGTTCTGTTATCAATGAAAAAAAAGCTATAAACTGAGATGTGTGAGATGGGTTATTGCAATATTGGGTTATGAATATGAAACTGTGAAGAAAAGCAAGGGAAGGCACAGAAAGAGAGGAAAGAGGTGGTGCTTGTAATGTGTATATTCCAAAGAGAAAGATTTGGAAATTGGAATTTTGTGACTGAAAAAGTGAAAAAGAAAGTTTTTTTGGAAGAGATTTGCTTTATGTTTTTTTTTTGTGCTTGTTTGCGCTCTAATACTCTGATTGATTGAAGAGAAAATTTGAAAATGGAGAGAACAGTAGCGGGTCCTACAACCCATGTTTTTTTATAATTTGGCACCTTTTGGCTCTTGTTGACTTCGAATCCGGTACGCCTCCATTACGGAACATATTCAACCCTTCCTCTCCCATTTTCTATTTCTTTTTTTCGTTTTTTTTATGTAAAATTATTTTCTTTAAAATTAAAATTGTTGAATATATAGAACTAAATCTGTTTTTAATTTTAATAAAGAAAATTTTTTTAAATTAATATTATTTGAACAACAAGTTTATTCAAATTTTTTCTAATATATCTATATGATAATATTAAATTGTTGGTAACAAGACATATTAAATAAAAATTATTAGAAATTAATTATATTTTCAAAGATAAAATGATTAATAATTGGTATAAATGAAAAGAGAAGCAAGTTTATTTTTGTTGGATAACTTTTTATGGATATTTAAATAATGAAATATTTATGTGATAATAATTATAAAATTAATATTCAAATATTAATTTTTTTTCAGGAAAAAAAACCCCAAGTTTCTTATCTGGGCTTGTGTTGTGAGGTCGTTTATGGGTTTGGGCTGAAAACTTGCTACTGTGATCAGATCAGTTTTAGTTTTGTCTGTACTTAGTTTGGCCCTATTTGAAGACATACGACACGCCGGATGTATAAGTACCAAGTAAGATGACACGTTTGGTGTTCATTTAACCCAACCTCTCCTACTTGCTTTTTAACATAAAAACGACCCGCTTTTTTGAAAACGACCGATTGGTTATCTCACTTTAATTCGAAACACGACTGTCATACTGTGTCTTGGAGTAAGCGACAGGGGACTTGTGTCCTCATGTTTTTGAATCGTTTGTTGCTTCTAGCATTTCGTCCAGCAATAAGATGTCCTGTCATGAAACGACTCCCAGTTCCAATAAGAAAACCCTGGGCAACTGTGCTGTTAGGGTTAGGGTTTAAGGACCGTATACAGCATTACTCTTTTTGAACATGGTAAACTCATCTTCTTAATTTCGATGTTTACGGCTTTATCGTCAGTCAATATTTGACATCATGTGGCCTAGAGCTTGGCTGGTATCGCGACGGCATATCCGGCACTTTTGTACTGCGGCTCGTCGTCGTATAGAGGACGAAGGTGACTGGCTCTACTCGTCGGAGTGGTGGGGTACGGACTCCGATATCAAAACACACACTGTTCTCCGTTCTAATTCCGATAAAGGAAACGGCGTCATCTCTGTCCTCGCTTACCCTTCCTCAAGACCTGTCAGTCTTTAAATAGGCGTTTACTAGTCTGTTGTTTTTTATTGATCGTTGCGTGTAACCTGTTCTTAACCTTTTTTATCTTTGAAATTTTCATTTTCCTGTGGGAAATGTTTATCAAATGAGCTTGATGAAAATTTTGCAGAGTCGGGAAAACTGGCCAGAAACTGAGAAATGGCTGCAGCTAAGGTATGCTGAGGTACATCCAGGTCAAGAAAGCAATGTACATTGTAGGATACTTGGATATCAGTGGCGTACACTACGATTTAATGATGAGACACGACAGAGCACTGCTAAAGTAATGGCTGCTTATCATCAATCGGATCCTAATTCTATATACTTAATGCAGCAGCCACATTGTTTAGCTGTTCCATGTAAAGCTCTGCTTTTTCCTTTTTCCTTAACATTTATTTGCCGCATATATGTTAGAGAAAAAAAAAAAAAAGATTGCTTTTAGCTTCTCACTCTTTCTTTGATGAAGTTGATTAATTTCTAAGAAAATGTAAGCTATGACAAAGTTGCAATCAAATTACCATTTTGAGAACTGTTAATTTTGGTGATATTAACATGGTAGATCCAGGACTCTCCTAACAAGTCTTGGAGTAATTGCACATTCTGAAGCTGAATAAGTCACTGTCAGAATTAATGGAATGAATCAAACAACTGCTAATCACCGTACTGAAAGCAATCCCCTTTTCAGCAATTCCCTATTTGTTAACTTGTTAGTTAATTTCCTTGCAAGATGATAGATGAGTAACTTTTTTCTTTAAAATTGAGGTAGTTATATGACCCCTTAGTGTTCACCAGGCGGTGTTTCAAACTTTAAAGGAATATTTTAGTTTTATCATTGATTTCTGAATTTGAGAAGTTGTTATATAGAGATCCGTTTCTCTGTCTCATGTATATGTTCTGGAAGTTGTAATCTCTTTTGCTGGTAAGATCACAACTAGAATCCTGGTGCTATTATTGCCATCATTTGGCCTAAGATCTAGTTATTTGTGGGTTTGGCCAAGTTTTCTTGCTTATCTTGTATTTTTATGCTGTCCCTGATTTGGTAATCTTGGTGATTGCATTCTAGTTAATATGGTTTTGGTTGGTTCTGCTGTACACTTTACTGTATCTAAAAGTAGCATATGACAAAGAGGCATGTCATAGGAATTTGTCAAATTGGTATGGCTGTCGTGTACTGCACTTTCTTATGAAGATTCAATGTAGAATGTCTTGCTTTCCCATTTTGCTCTTTATATTGACCTCTTATCTGGGCTTGTTGAATATCTATTTGTTTAATGATGTGATATCTATATTTTGGTATGGCGTGTTGATCACTTCTGCGCTGCAAGCAAAGGGACTAACCTGCCACTACATTTCATTGTTTATTCTTTGTCGATTTGCAGATGCATGACGTATTCGATGTCATTGTGCAGATCTGAAGAGCATGGTATCAGTTGGATTAACTACTATAGCATCCTGTAATTATGACCTTGTGGATGCTGTGTCTGGGAGGAAAACTATGCGAATTTTATGCATTGGTCATGGTGGAGGAAGCTTACCGTTGTTTTTGGCTAGCAAAATTCAAGGTGAAAGACTATACACATTATTGTGAGATGTGTCTCAAGTTTTCATTCTATTAGTTGTTCAAGTTTGGGGCTAAAGCTGGTTTTCTCATGTGTCTAGAATCATATGTTAAGGAATTTAGTATCATATTTTGACTTGCATGTCATATTGTCAATAGGAGAATTGGAAGACCAACTTATGTCTTCTAAGAATTACTGGGAGGAACCAAGGAAGCCTGTATCCAGGGTTTAGGGAAGCACCTTAAACATATGATGCAAAATGGTTCCCCTGCTGTCCTAACCCTATGCGTATGATGCAATTTTTCATGATACAGCCAACCCTTTGTCTAAGCAGTCTTACACATGCACTGTGGCAATATCTTTCGTCTTCTTTGTTTTGCGCATGCATATGGTGGGGGACGAGTGCATAAGGAACATGTTAAAGAGGTCAGGGAAATGAATAATAACAGAAGAAAGTTTAGTTGCTTATGTAATTGCAACTGTCTCGTTATGAAAAGATAAAAAAAAGAATAGCTGACTGTTTATGATACTTGGGTCCATATCGAGTAATGATTGAGTTTCAGTGTTTAATATTAACAATCCTTACTGTTGTGTCTAAATTATTTTCTCATGGAGGAATGTTACTGTAGCAATCATTTGATACATGCCCCTTTTTCTGTAGAATGCAACAACAGTATATTTTGGTTTCTTAAAACATGAGTCTGCCCTTTTCCGAGAGTTACTCATTCATTTATGTAATCGTCATAATAACTACAAAAACTTTTCTTTGCGTCTTCAGGTGCTGTCGTTGACATAGTTGAAATTGATCCCCTTGTTATATCTGCTTCTATCCAAGCAATGGGTTTTCCAGCTTTCTCAGCTATGACCCCATCAGATAGGCGTGCCTTATCCAAGCCTGATACTGTCGAAGAAGTAATGTGGAGAGGCATCCATGAGAGGCTCTACCTCTATGAGTCAGATGCTGAGAAGTTCATCCTGGACAGAAGCAATCTATATGATATGATCTTCATTGATGCCTATGATGGTGATGACATCTTCCCACACAAGCTATGGGACGCTGATTCCCGATTTCTCAAAGCACTCAATAATAGGCTGCACCCGGAGCATGGCACTGTTGTGGTGAACCTTCATGCAGATTATGATGCCTTAAATCCTGATCCTTCCGTTTCATATTTTTATGAACAATTTCTGCCAATGAACAGGCATGTTGCCAAAGTTTGCAGAGGGTACAAGGATGTTCTAGTCGGCAATGGAAATTCTTCTGTTGGGAAAGAAGGTTCTGGTTTTTTATTCACTGTTTCAGTTCCTTGGGTGTGTAATACATCTATGGTTGTATGCAGGGGTGGTAGATTCTGTAGTAAGGATTCCATTGTGAATGGCATCATATCTAAATCCCCTGAAGTCGAAAACATTTTGAACCTGCCATTCTCATGCTTAGACTATTTAAAGAGAGATTTTAAACTTTTTGATTGATCTTCAGATGGTTACTCTTTTACATTTCTTCCATTTTTTGTTTCATTTTTGATCTTCAGATGGTTGTTGATACGTTGGGAAAAAGCCGAGTTAGTTCGATAAAAGTATACCTAAGTCACATTTATTTATAATTTAAAAATTTGTTCCTTAAATTTACAAGCTAACTCACGAGCCCTGATTCATTTACAATAATCACTAAGTGATTATTTTAAAGTTAATTTTACAAAATACTAAACCTTTAATTTTTAATTGTCATGTTAAAAATGTTAATTTCATTTTTAATAAAACATCAAACTGTCAAAATATATAATCGAAACTTTTAGTAAATTAAAATTTCATAAAATACTGATAGTTTAGTTAGTCTTTTCACTTATACGATAAGCAAGCGAATTTTCATAAAATGCTAATTTTTCAACACAAAAATAAAAATCTCACAACACGGCAAATTCAAACAGTAAAATTTGTATAGCAGTTACTGGCTTTATGGTTTTACCACGCTGGTTATTCTTACTGACTACGTGTCAAACAAGAATTGGTGTTTCTATAATATATAAAAGGCGCCCTATTTCCCTTCCAAGCCAAAACCCCAAATACCCCACAAAACCCTTACAATGGCGTCCTCAGCGAAGAAGCGACCGGCTATAACCAACGGCAACGAAGGAATAGTCGCCAGGGTGACACGCACAGTTTCAGAGTCGGCGGTATTGAACACGGCGAAACAAGCAGCCAACGACACGGCCTACGTGGCGAAGAGACTGGCTAAGAGCACGGGAAAGGCGGCGTGGATCGCGGGAACCACGTTCCTTATCCTGGTAGTCCCACTCATCATCGAGATGGACCGCGAGCAGCAGTTCAATGAGCTCGAGTTGCAGCAGCAGAGCCTGCTTGGAGCCCCACCCGCCCCGATCCACAAGTGAGAGAGACGCTTCCCCCCCCCCCATGAGCCTCGAGTTTGCCAGCAGCAGAGCTGCCTTGGAGGCCCCACCCGCCCCGATCCACAAGTGAGAGAGACGCTTCCCCCCGCCACCCCATCGGCTGGTGCTTGTTTCCCCCCCCCACCCCATCGGCTGGTGCTTGTTCAGAGTCTTTGGCGGTAGTGATTTAGTATTGTCGTTTCTATTGTTTGTTTAAAGGATGAAGAGTCGGCATTGTTAGTGCAGGTTCTTGTTACTCAATTATATTACTGTTTTTATCTGCTATTCAATTAGTATGAGAAATCACTTTTTTGAGGCTAAGAAAGTTCAATAAACAGGATTTATAAAAATTTTCATAATTCTCTCTAACATTAGTTGCTATTCAGTTAATTTATTGAATCCCAAGCCATCTTAAAATAGCCGTTGTCTAATTGCCATAGAGCTTATTACTTTATTTTCTTGTTAGTATAAGCTTTAGTTTGCTTGCATGCAAATAGCTTGATTGTGGTAAGGTCTTTTGAATTTTTTTTGAATTTTTTTTTTTTATATACATTGAGCAAGTCCTTATGATATTATGCTTTTGCCATCAAATACACTGGCCAACTACCAACTGCCAAGAAAAAGTAAGAGATTGCAAGTGAAAATGGCTAACCAGAAATACCAAGAGAAAGCATTTGTGTCATGCCTTCAAACCAGAGATTTCTTTTAGGGAAACATGAAGCAAATAGAAGAGGAAAAATGGTCATGGCCTACAACCATGTAACCCCCAACACCTTCAATAATGTATGTCACCCAACACCAATTTTATCAACTTTCTCTTTCTCTGCAATTAGAAATACCGTCCGAACGGTGACTCATTTTTTACTTTGTGCAAAATTTAGAAGTTGCAACCGTCGTTTTGCAGTCACATCAGATTAACATAGATAATTGCTATGATGATATAGACAGTAGCATGTAACTGCTATGACCTTTGCAGTTTCAAAAATCAGTGACCAGAAAGATAGGAATCATTTATAACTATGTCAACCTCTTTGTCTACAAATAATCTAGTAGGATTGGTCTCAAGGCATCCCCTAAAGCTATGAGCTTGTAGCTTATCACTGCCCTAAAGGCTCAGAAGAGCATATTTTGTCTTGAACAAAACATTAGGAAGGACTCTTTCAACGAGTTACTGAATTTCCCTAAAAGCAGCAGCCTTTGAAAAATCTATCTGTTAACATCTCTAACAATAATCTCCCTCTCCACATTGCTAAAATACTTAAAAACAATTCATGCCAATTCTTACAAATTCTCAAGTTCTTCACAATCCTCAATGCCTCTCAAATAGGGCCACTCTGTCAATCACACTGAATGCAAGAGCTAACGTCTCACCGTGATGCCAAAGTTCTTCCCTATTTCCCTAGTTCTCCTTTTTTGTCATACATCATTCAACATCTCATCCCAAACTGGCACATATCCTAATTTCTCAATCTCTGCTGCCAATGTTGAATAAATTTCCTCCATTCTCTCATGCCTCCAATCTTCTGGACAAAACACATGAATTTTTCCTTTCACTTCCATCCAACTCTTCCCTACTAGCCTCTTCACTCTCCTGTCTTTCATTAGCTTCCTCATTTCTGCAACCTCATCCCATTTACCTTTAGCCGATAAGGTGTTTGCTGCAATTGCAAATGCGGAGCTGTCATGAGGGTCTACGTCCAATAACCTCCTAGCCATCACCCAAACCTTGTCAGCCTCCCCATGAACAGCACAAGATGATAACAATGCTCGCCAGACTGCTGCATCTGGCTCGAAAGGCATTGTAATTGCAATCTGCTCTGCTTCCTCCAATCTTCCTGCTTGAGCCATTGCACGCACCAAGCATGTATAATGCTCCAAACTAGGTTCTAACTTGTATTCCTCATTTCTGCAACCTCATCCCATTTACCTTTAGCCGATAAGGTGTTTGCTGCAATTGCAAATGCGGAGCTGTCATGAGGGTCTACGTCCAATAACCTCCTAGCCATCACCCAAACCTTGTCAGCCTCCCCATGAACAGCACAAGATGATAACAATGCTCGCCAGACTGCTGCATCTGGCTCGAAAGGCATTGTAATTGCAATCTGCTCTGCTTCCTCCAATCTTCCTGCTTGAGCCATTGCACGCACCAAGCATGTATAATGCTCCAAACTAGGTTCTAACTTGTATTCCAGTTTCATCCTTTGAAGCCATTGTTCAATCTCAAGAAACAAACCATTATTACAAAAAGCTGTTAGAATAGCCAAAAAACTATATTCATCAGGTACAAGCCCTTGAGCCTCCATTGCATGATACAACTGGAGCACCAAGTTCTTATCCCCTCGTTGAGCATAAGCAGCCATCATAGAATTCCACCCGACCATATTCAATTCAGGCAATAACTCATCAAACACCATTCTTGCGTCTACTACAAGCCCCGATTTGCCATACCCATGAATCAAAGCAGTCCCAACAATCAAATTCCTGTCTAATCCCGCAACCACAGCATGCCCATGAATCATTCTACACTGCTCCAACGCCGCCATCTCTGCTGCAGCACGTAATGCACCAGAAACACTATATATTGTCGACCCTACATTACAAACCTTCATTTCTGCAAACGCAGACAACGCATCCATAGTTCTTCCATTCTGCGCTAAGCCTACTATCAAGGCACTGTAACAAAACTCATCCCTTTCATCCAATTCATCGAACACCTTGCGTGCATGCTCAGGCAAATGACATTTCGCGTAAAAATTAACCAATGCAGAGCCAGAGAATGGTTGGGTATTGAGAGACAGTTTTAAAGCCAAAGAATGGAGAGCGAGGCCAAAAGAAAGAGCAGAGAGGTTGGTGCAAGCTTTGAAGAGGGAAGCGATGGTGCGTTGGCTGGGAAAAACGGGTTGACGGAGCATGGAAAGGAAGTGGTCGAGAGAGAGGAAAGAATTGGTGTTTGCTGAAATGAGAGAGGTCCATGAGACGATGTTGGGAGATGAGAGTTGAGAGAAGAGGCGATTGGAGTAGGAGAAGAGAAGGGAATTAGTAGCCTTGGAGTAGAGAGTGATTAAACAATTGAAGAATGAAAGGTCTGTGTAAGGAGATTTTACGGCTTGGGCATGGAGGATACGTGGATCTGTATTCGTATCTGGTAAGTAGGTCATCGTATGTACTTTTATAAATATTTTAAGTTCCCAGGAAGCACCAAAGAGAGTTTGTTCAGTTGCCCTTGCCCACATTCGATGAGTTGACGGGAAGTTCAAAGAATTGTCATATGTACGGAAACCTTATTTGGAAATTACTCCTTTAGGCCGAATCTATAACCACGCATATGGACTAAATCTTATATGCTCCATGATCCGAAATACACTTTTTTTTTTTTTCAGTATATTTTTGAAATATACTCGTTTTAATGAGTAATCTTATTTTCAGTAACATAGTCCGAGAGTGACCTCGTGGACCCGGTCGAAATAAAATTAACATCAATAACTGATGGACCCGGTCCAAGAAAAATTAACATGATGCTCTAAGGAAGTTTAACTCCCAGTAGAAATTACTCCAAAGTTAACAGCATAACAGAATCCGAATTCAAATGTATCTTCTAACAGAGGAAAAAAACAAAAAGAAAGTGGAGTTTCTGGCAACAGCTCATCTAGGTAGAGTTATTGGGTGTCAACTGATATTGGCTGCTTTGAGCTTAACCAATCATTCTTTTCCATATACGTTAACTTGTACAACTGTCAGAGCTCTTTATCTTAAGCCCAGCTGTGATCATCTACGCCTTCAAAGAAATTGATTTGTTTTGTATCGGAAACATTTGATTCCGATTCGAAATTAAAATTTCCGAACTGGTTCCTATTTAAACCAAATCAATGGCCATACTTTTGGAACCTGAAAAAATAAAAATAAAAATAAAAATCGTGGTTAATTATGGTTAGTGAGAAGTAGAAGTGGAAAATTGAGACGTAGCACATGTTTAAGTTGACCTGCTGCCACAGTCACAGTATTGATAAGAATGTGACTTTGTCAAGAAAGTACAACTATGGCATTAGAGTGGATGGCTTTCCAGAGAATGTTTCGAATTGAACAAAGACAATTAATACATATAATACATATACAGTGGAATGGAATGGATGGCTTTTATTTAGTGTAGTTGACAAATAAGATGATCCCATCCGTCGAATCTCCAACTCCAAGAGTTGTTGATGGATTTTTTGGTCCTTTCACAGCCTTGACCTTACTTTGAGAGCTCCACTATCAACATCTTGATGGTCACAGACCCCAAAATTACAGATTCAAGACATTAATCAAAGATGCTGTAGATAGTGATCTTTCCTCTTTCTATTTTCTTCATTACTTCATAACTTTAAGTCATTATCAAATATTTTTTTAAATTTCTATACACTTTCTATTAAAAGATAAAATTAGTAATTTATAAAAATAATTCCATTTAAACAATTTTTATTAATTTTTTTTAATCAAAATGAACCTGGAGTATTACGATACAAGGCGCTTAGCTCAAGATGCAAAGACAAGCCATGTGAGCCAACTCATTACTTCACATCTTTCTATTCATAGAAATTGTTAGAATGTAAACTCTAATGTCCTTCATTTGGGCTTAATGGCTGATAAAATAAATTTTTGTTTGTTCATTTTCTATTTGTCCTACTCTCTTATGCCAAGAATTTTCATTCTTTTTATAAAAAAAATAAACTTCTAAAGAGTAGCTGTCAATATATCCAATTGCTAAATTACTCATTCAACTGTCAAATTTTAGGATTTTCAAAATATGAGAGGATTGTTGAAAAGAGGGTTGCTCTCTTCGTACATAGCCCATCAACCCCAAAAAAGAAAAAAAAAATGAAAATTTAAAAATGCTAATAAAAATCCTAGTGATTATCATTTCAAGTCTCGTAGTAAATCAAGGCAAGAAAAGAAAAAGGTTACTCCATCAAGTGTGTTTTTGGGTGGAGAGAGAGAGAGAGGTGTCACTGCTTTTGAAAGAGAGAAGCTTACAACTTTCTGAAAAGCATAAAGCAGTGAAGAAATAGAGAAGCATCAGTCTGGAGAACTGGGACAAAGACAACCATCCACATGGACTGGGCCATAGGGAAAAAAGAAGCCAACGCCAAAACCAAAACCTATTTTTGATTTTACACTTCAACCCTTCTATTCTATGCAATTCATCCAATGATAAAAATTCATTCATTTCATCCATACAATTTTAACATCCTTTCTCACCTTTGTAAAGAAAAGAACAAAAAATTCATATCCTAATTTGCTTCCATTCCCAATGAATTCTCCCACCACAACACTGTAACAAAAGACCCCATATTTATATTTCTCCACCAAAACTTTGAACTTTTACTTTGTAAAGAAATGGAAATGTAGGAAGAATCCAACTCAAAAAAAAAGAAAAAAAAAAGGGGATGTTTGCCTCTTTAAAGATCTTTATCTCTTCCTCTTAAAAATCTGCACAAATTAACAGAATCCAACTATATCAGCATTTGAAAGCAAAAGAGAGTAATTGAACATTGAAAAAAAGGACAAGATTTAATCTCCATGTAGAAAATGCATACCATCATGTTTCTTCATCAAACTTCTTGCAAACATCAAGCAAATAACCACAAACCCCACTCCAACTGCCCCTCCTAATATAATGGCCACTGTCTTTCCTGTATTTTGCCCTGTCCCTACATCCACCAAACAGATTCTACTTTAATTAGATTATTTCAATGCTAACTCAAACCCAATCAATCTCCATTGAAAGAAAACAGACCCACAGATATATTGTTTTAAGACCTCTTCTAGATGCATTATATAACAAAATTATAAACAAATGAATAAAAATCTGCAAATTTCTCTCTCCTCTAGATTCTAGATTTCAAAAAAGAAACTCTCTTTTTTGCTTTACCTGATGAAGAAGAAGAAGAAGATGATGAAGATGATCTCCTGGGGACCCCATTTGGATAATAGCTGTAACTAATAAAGCATTTGTGCAAATAAATTTGTCCTGAAATAGCATTCCCACATTCAACCTGAGCTCTTTGCACTGCATTTTTCACACACTCTCCACAATCTGAATCCCCCACATCACCTTCACATTGCCCCAAAACATACACAGATTGATAGCTAGTAGTATAATATCCATGGCCACTAACCACACCATTTGTCAATACAGAAAAGGCTGTATCCCTTCTCTCCTCAAACCCACTTCCTGCTATAGTTGAAGCTCCACAAGTCTTATACAACATTTCCATACCTGAAATTTGAGTAAACCCCGCTACCTCGTATAAAATGTAGCACCCATAAAGCTGGACTCTTGCAGCTATGGTTTTGCCACACAGTTTGTCTGTTAACACAGGCAGTCCACTGACACACTTGTAGCATTCACCAATACTGAGGTCTCCTCTACATTGAAAAAGACCAGTTATTGTGGTTTGGCCAGTACCAGTGGTGGTTTTAAAGAACTTGGCTTTAGTTGACTGAGAAACTAAAGAACCAAAGAGAGCAGAGAGGGCTTGTGAGTATACACCATTTGGATCTTGAAAAGACTGTTTTGCACAGCCCTTATACACCAAAGTGCCATAATCAGTGGCAGATTGAGCTAGATTGGTGAAGAGAAGGAGAGAGAGACAGAGGAGAAGGGAAAAGGGTTTTGAGGGAAAACCCATTTGGGTATTGGTGTTGATAGATCAAATCATGGCAGTTCTGAAAGTTCTTTTGAGGGATTTGAGATATGGGTTTTGGTTAAAACTGGAGAAAGCTTGAAGGGTTTGGTTTGGTTAGCCTTGATTTGCTAAAAGAAGAGTTCTTTTTTATTAGTTTTGTGGTGTTTGGGATTTTACTTTTTCTCTGGATAGCTTCCCTCTGTAGTTGTGCAGAGTATGAGAGAGATGAAGCCTGAGAAGAAGAGGGCATCTTTGTTGCTATCTCCACAGGAAGACAACAAAATCCAATTGGCAACCGATAATGGAGAGAAGTAAAAAAGTAATTTTTATTGAAACGATGAATTATATAGTTACTTTAGCTTGTAATTTTTTAATATTTGAGGAGAATGAAAACAAAATTCGGTTTAAAAAAATAATTTTCAAAAGGGCAAAAGAAAATATTCTCTCTCTAGTATTATATTATAGGGGTAGAGGGTAGGAATGTAAGAAATCTGTTTAATGGTTATGTGTGGGAGGCAAGTGTATGAAGTTTGACCAATGGTATTTACTTTTGGATCTTATTTTTTAATTTTAATGGAACTTGAGATCTACAGACTCAAGAAACAGGTGGATGTATTTAAGACTTAGGATTTAAGAATGAGAGTCACGTGATCATATCTTGGATGATTTGGTAGTAATTAATTCTGCTAATGAACAAACAACAAGAATACTTCTTGTTTGAACATTTGTTTTGTTACGTATGCATGCTCAATTCTTCTTTTCTCTCATTTTTATTTGTTTCTACCTAACATATTCTTTTTAGTTTTCCATTCTCAACATATATAACCAATTATTATTGATTAAAAATTAAGTTACACTTTGCTCCTTTTTTCTCTTGTGGGCTTCTTTTAGGCCCTTCCATATTTTTATCTTGGGCCACTTTTGTTGGGCTTTAAAACTTTTCTTCACTAATAAGTGAAATTTATTCTTATAAAAGATTTGCAATCTCACCTTATTAATCCAACGGAATTACCCTATTCCAGTTAGGCTTCGAGCATTTTGCAGAGATAAAATAAAATAAAATAAAATATAATTTTTTAAAATGAAAATTAATTAAATTATTTAATTCTTTCTTATGCCACTTTTGTAAGTATAAGACAAAAAGCATATTTTTTATTACACATACTTTTGGTAAGTCCAATAATAAATTTCTTTATATTAGATAGATAAATGCTAATCTAACCTTTTTACTGGCATGCTCTATAAGGTAATATTATCATACAGAAAAATGTAAAATATTAGAAAATAGGTAATTTTCACTTGCATGCTCTATATATTATCAAACCTTATCTTTGCAATACGAATTTGATTGGTTATTGGAGCAATTTAGTAGTTGTGACAGTATGTATGTTGGTATAGACTTTCCTAAACGGAGAACGTAATTTTATATATGAATTAAATTAATAGAAATATGAATTTTTACTAAAATGAGAATATTAAAGAAAAAAAAATAGAAATAATTTTTAAAAAGTTGTTCTTTTATAAGTTTGATCTGGAGATAGGTCATTAACTAGTAACTACTTTCTACGTATATTCGTATAAATCCTAAGCAAGAGATGTATAAAAAGGGGACTTCTCTAAGAATGTTACTCCAACAACCAATCAAAAGAAATAGAAGTCGTACACATTACCGCTTGGTCCAATGCCAATGTAACAATCTTTTCCTTTTCCTTTTCCTTCCTCTCCACCGACGAAATTTCCTCTCCCTGCTGCCTCTGTGCGCTGTACGAACGGAAGTAACAAAACCCAACAACATAAAGCTATCACCTTTACCAGCACAGGAACAACCTTAACTATGTCCTAAATATTTATGGAGGACTGTTTACTTATATTCCAAGTCTAAACATTTGATGCCGGAGAAGGAACAATAAAGCAAAAGGAATAATGCAATCATTCAAAGATAAAGTCTCAAACCAGCTTTCTCGTCTCTTTGTTGATTCACCAAATTCTACTAAATCTTTTTCTTCTCCATCTTCACCAACAGATAAATCTCAGGTAAATTCCTTCTCTTTTTTCTTTTTTGTATGATGGGTTATTTTTCAGCTCTCCTATTTGTTTTTAATTTTTAATTTTTTTGGAGGTTTTAGATCTGATTGGTATCTGCAATGAACTTGCGCAGTTGAATTTGTTTTGTTATCTTGTGGATAGTAATTTGCTTTGGTTGGCTATTTTTAGTTGAATTATGTATATTCCTTCAGTAATAATGATAAATTTAGTTTTTTTTTTTTTTTTTCTTCTCATTTTCTCATGAGAATTCTGTTTCTTAAACAATGTGTAATAGGAATGTTGGTTCAACATTGTTGCGATAGTCTTGCTGGTTTGCATTAAGGGCAATATGACTGCTCTGTTTCCTTTCCATTCTACTTTTATTTTGATTGTGATTTGGGATCTTTGAATGTGTAGGTCAGGCTGCTCTCTAATGGGGGAAAATCAACATCTTCTTATTTTTCCTTCTCTGTCCCTTCGTTTAGCTTTGGTGGGTCTAGATCAAACAAGCACCAACACGATTTAAACCCAAGCCAGTCATTGTCTGTTAGAGGGGTTAGAAAAGGTTTCGAACAGAAAGATGAATGCTCAGTTAGGTATCATGAATGCAGCACAATATCCGAGGATAAAAAATTCCAAAATTCTTGTGAAAATAGAAATACACTTTGTGCGTACAAACAAACTGATATAACCCATGATAGTAACGAGGTCGGTTTGTCTGAGAGAAGCAGTACTGATAGTGAGGTCTTTGAGGAAGCACGTGACCAGCCTACTCCACGCAAGTCTTTACCCCATCTCATGGACAAGTCATCTTTTGTTTCCTCAGAATTGTATGAATTCTTGCATTCATCCATTCCCAACATAGTGAAGGGATGCCAATGGGTTCTGTTGTACAGGTAAGTTTTGTCAATACATCTATGTCTTGCAACTCAGTTTAATTTCTGTTATTGCAATTACATCTTGATTCACTGGCGATTCATTCAATGAAGGGCAGTACGTTGAAGCATGGCATTTCACTGCGGACGCTTATTCGCAACAGTGCTGACCTATCTGGTCCGTGTTTGCTGGTATGCTAATCCTCGGGTTTTGATTAATTACTGGTGCAATTACCTATGAATGTTTCATCAATTGCATTATGAAAATTTCTAGATTGTTGGTGATAGACAAGGTGCTGTTTTTGGTGGTCTGCTGGAATGTCCATTGAAACCTACACCCAAGAGAAAATATCAGGTAAACTAAATAATGTTTTTGTAGATTTTACATGCTCAGAGTGTTTTGTGTTCCTTGTTTTCTTGACTATTCAAAATGCTTGTTGAATCCTCATATTTTTCCAATACCAATGATAGGGAACACATGAGTCCTTTGTATTCACAACTATATATGGCGAGCCAAGGCTTTTTAGACCAACAGGTAAGAACTAATATCTAATCATTGTAGTCTTTGATTTCGTAATTAAAGATTGCAAAAACTCGTATAGTTATTAAAAACATGAGACTACGGGCTTCACTCCCATATTTCAATACCGTTCTTATACTAGCTCTGTCTTTTTTTTTTTTTTTTTTTTTGGTATTCACAACTTATATATGGCGAGCCAAGGCCTTTTTAGACCAACAGGTAAGAAACTAATATTTAATCATTGTAGTCTTGATTTTCGTAATTAAAAGATTGCAAAAACTCGTATAGTTTATTAAAAACATGAGAAACTACGGCTTCACTCCCATATTTTCAATACCGGTTCTTATAACTAAGCTCTGTCTTTTTTTTTTTTTTTTTTTTTTTTTTGGGTAATGGAAATTAAAAAAAAAAGAAAAAACAGGAAGCTTCTTGCATGATGCACTCAGTCAGTAGTGCCCATTACTTGGAACCACCTTATGCTGCTCCATGTTTTCTGATAAAACTTTGGTAATTTGAAGATACTGTTGTTCCTAGTATTAGAATTTTGCCTTGGGTATTGATTTAATTCCCAAGTTTCTTTATGGTGAATTGTGATTTATTAATGGTCAGAATACAGGAAGTCAAGTATCATATTTGAACAGGGAGTAAGGAATAGTTTTTCATAATCTGTCACAAATAGAGATTTGCGTGAAATTTATTGCTGCAATAATCCTTTGGTCAACTTCATCCTTTTACTTATGAAGAGAAACCTTCAGGTTTCTTGAACCTTTTTTTTCTTACTGTAATTCTGCATCAAAGGAAAGTGCCTTTGATGTTTACGATCTTGATGGATCTCAAGAATACTTGATAAGATCTTGAAATTTAACATTTTTAACGGTAACATATGGCTTCTACAGATAATAAATCCTAAAATCATAATTATTGATGTACTTCCAAGCTGATTTTGTGACTGACTGATATAAATAGGTGTCAACCGATATTATTACATGTGTATGTATGACTTACTAGCGCTTGGTGGAGGCGGCGACTTTGCTTTGTGCTTGGATGGGGATCTGTAAGTTGTTTTGTCAAGTATCTTTTTGAATTTTTGTCAACAGATACAAAAAACTGCGCAACATTTTTTATTCTTCATATAATAATTTTTCACTCTTTTTTCTTCATCGGAATAGGTTGAATGGAACCAGTGGACCTTGTGAAACGTTTGGGAACTTATGCCTGGCCCATAAACCTGAGTTTGAACTAAAAAATGTTGAGGTAATCTAAGTATTATGAACTGTTGCTTACCTGAAATTCCTGTGACAAACTGGTGCCTCTATATTTTCTTTAACTTGTCTTCTTTGCTATTGTTTCATCATTGAAACATTGGCTGCCGCTTGTGCCACTTTTGAAAACCTACCCAGTCTACTTTTACTTATCGTGACTATGAGAGCTTAGGTGAATTAGTTTTAAGCAATCATAAACTCAATGGATCCACTTGTGTGCTTGTTTTGAAATGGCTTTCCCATATTTTAAGGAGATGTTCTTATGCGTGCAGCTTTGGGGGTTTACACATTCATCAAGATATCTTTCCTAAAACAAGGAGATGGAAGCCTGTCATTTTTATCTTCTTAATTGGTGGCAAATTTCATTCTTTATTCTTTAGATTATGAAGTTGTGCAGTATTGGTTTTTACATGATGCTATGGAGCACTTAAGTTTTATCTATTCAAATACAAGGCGATTCACAATGTCCCTGGCTGTATTGTTGTAAAACTACAACTAGGTGCGGCAAAATAGATCTAGGAAAAAGAACAATTAGACGGATTGACGTTTATCTCAGTGTTGTTTGAGAGACAGAATGAGATATGAGTTTATCTTGTATTCATCCTAAGGCGTTGTATGAGTTAATTGGTATAATTCTTCAGCTTCAATATTTATAGTAATCTTTCATCGTGCATACTCTCAAGAGTTTGAGACAATGATTGTCACAACTATAGGATATTGTCTGAGTACATAATTTAACCACTGAAGTTTAACTAAATAAACTATGGTACCATGAACTAGTATTTCACTTTTTATAATAATCTCACACTTCTTCAGGCTAACAACAACAATTTTTAAAATTTTTGTACTTTTATATATAAAATATTAGTCTGCAAAAATTAAAGTATTCAAAATGAAAATTAAAAGGATGTCACAAGATTTTTCGTGGTGAGTTTTAGTTTTTGTATTAAGCTGCAGAATAATTACAGACATCAGCTCAAAAATTTCTTACTCAACATGAGATCAAATAAAAATAATGATTAAACTAAACTGGATAACTCGTTTTCTTTCAAATTATGCTTCAATCAAATATCTTAGTCTGATAAATTGCGGGGAAATAAATCACCCAAATATCAACTCTTATAAGCCTTTCCCTGTAAGAAATCGCTAGAGCACAGGGAATCCCACCAACAAAGGTTATAACTCAGTTTAATAATTAATGTATGTAACTTAAACCAATCTGCAAAATGATGATGTCAACAAGCTATGGTTTAATACTCAGTAGAGATACATTTTACTGCAAATACACATTACAAACCTAAAAGCATTTAAATTAGCGCGTATCAACCCAAAAGGCAAAATCTTATGATGTAGATTAAACATGTTCTGAAAATTTCAATGTCAAGTAATACAAAAAGACTGAACAGTTATTCAATTTCACTTCTTCAATCTAAGCAGACCCTTCACCTAGGCACATGGCTCCATTGGTAGAAAATTGAGTAAAGAGCCAATATTGCACAACAAATAAGAACTCAAGTTCCACCATCTGCTTCATTAGTCAATACAGGACAACAAACAAAAGCTGTATACCCAATTGCAAGGAGCACCAATAGCGACTTGCAAACGCTTCATGACTCTGGTTGACCTTCATCCCCAGGTAGGCCAAATATCCGGAGGTTGCGGTCCATAGATCCTACTGCTATGTATTTAGCATCAGGACCAAATTTCACACAAGTTGCTTTTCCTGGGAATCAGAGCACAATCAGTCATTGATCCCTCAAATGGTACATAGGCAGCAAATAACAATGGAAAAGGGAAAATGGAAAATACCTGTGCCAGATAAGTCAGGGAGAGTTTTGATGCAATTCCAATCTGCCTTAACACTAGCAACTTGGTAAATTCTACACCAAATAACACGCCACAAAATTAGCTGGACATACCGTTTAGAAGTCACAAAAAGTTGTAACTAAGGGACACGTTGGTGGTGCACCAGGTTACCTATTTTCTTATGCTATAGGGGAAAAGATAAAATAAAAACTTTTGGAAAACATCTCAAATAAAGCATACAAGACTCAAAACAGAAATGAGAAAAGAAAAGGCATTTACAATCCATGGAAGCTCAGTATGTTTAGAAGATCGATAAACAATCCAACGTTTGAAAGTCCAATAAGAAACCACACCTTATATCTGAGCCTGCAACTCCGAGGTAACATCCACTGTGGTCAAATTCCACTGCAAAAACCAGAAATAGAACTACCATTATTAATTGCTCATGATTGATTTATCACACATGAAAAGTATAAGTCAATGAAATGAGTAAATAAAACAAATTTTTCCATCTTTCCATTCATCAATAGACAGCACATGGCGAAAGAACGCAGTTTGCTAATTCAGAATTTTTCCAAAGCTATAAAAGACAATGAAAAGCAAAAACAACACGTTTTCATACTGTATTGGAGGAAGAAATGGAAGTACTGTTAAAGCAGCAAGGGAAAGAAAGGCCAGATAAACCGCATGGAGTAATACAGATTACCGCATGGAATAATACAGATTCAAAAATCACAGTATTACATCGTTCCATACCTGAGTTTGTTGGTGTATCTGAATCATACAGATTGAGCGTGCGAAAGTTCTTCAATTTGCGCAGATCCCATAATTTAACACTATCACGAGCTGCCGTCTGTCCAGTTCAACCACATAAATCAGATTGCAATATATCAGGCAATCCACACACTTCAAATTTGTTAAAAACACATACCGCTAGGAAGTAACCATTTTCTGAGAAAGATATGGCAGTTACTGCTCCTTCATGGCCATCAAATCTTGCAACATTTGCCTGTAAGAATAACGAACAACAATAATTAGATCAATAATTAAACACACTCACTCCCCAAACTACCTTTTTTTTTTTTCTGGCATGCAAGGAAGAGTCTGCACATATCCCTTCCACAAGTTGCACTCTAAAAAATTGTACCAGAATTAAGTGTGATACTGGAACAATTACCTGGCTCTTTACATCCCAAATTTTAACGACTGCTTCTGAGGTGCCTGTTCCAAGGATGAGACCATCAGGATGAAAAGCTGCAGATGTATAGCCCTCAGGTTTAGAAGTGTCAGATTTTGACGTGTCATCAACCTGCAGAACAAAATCATCTGATCATTCTTCCTCAACCAATGGGCAAAGAACTTTTATTTCTTCACAACACTTAACAATAAAAATATGAGGAAGTTTAAAGCTTACAATTAAAGCATTTGGAAAATTGTTGCTTATATATATAGAGGTGCGCACAACCCACAGTACCAAAAAATAGTGAACTAGAAAGGAAAAAGAGAATTTCAAGCAAACTCCAAGAGGAGGAATGTTTTTGTTTGTTTGAGATAGAGAAAGAGAGAGAGAAATGGAAGTGTTGGGACCTGCTTCAAACATAAGCCAGAGGAGAGATCGTAGAAGCACCATGTATTATCGAGAGAAGCAGTCACAAAATACCTATTTGTGGCATGTACTGTGACAGCTTGCACCTGACAGGATTGACAAGAAAATCCATGTTATGTGAATAAAATGGCACAAAAACAGACCGCATCATCATCAGCTCAAGAAAAGCATTAAAAGAACTTGAAATTATAATAATGGGTTCAGTGCTTTCTAAGCAAAATCTATACAAGAAACTAGTACCACCTCGGTAAAAGCAAATGCCATTTCAAATTTGATTTCATGGGCTAGGTTTTCAGAATGACAATTATACATTCATTCCACTATTAAAAGAATTACTTTTGATTTCAAGAGGTACCAATTGAGTATGATATATTCTGACATACTTCCCATGGTTTAGAAGCCTGCACCTAAAGCAATTTCCTGTGAACCCTAAAGGCTAAAGGTGTGTGTACGATTGCAAATCACCCTCAGAAATAGGAAAGAGAGGGCAAAGGCATCACAAGCAATCAAGGATATGTATATCATTCCCACATTACTCAAGCAGGAGCTTTACTTGAGGATTAACCAACCTACAGGAGGCATCAAAAGCCTTATCATGTTGCCACTAAAGAGGCCCAATTGCTAGAACTCAAATATGTGTGTGTATGTGCTGTCTCATTTGGTCATAGATAACCTAAGCCCTCCTATTTAAAACTTGAAAAAAACACTAAATGATAGGATATCTAACAATATATTTGAATTTATCAAACCACAGGAAACTTCTGGAATAAGTTTTCGACAGCTCAGACATCAATCAGCCATCGGGTACAAAACATAAAGATAGAAACACATTCACCTCAGCAGTGTGATCCTTCAAAATGTGTCTGCATTCATAGTTTCCATCTTCAGATCCTTGCCAAACACGAACAGTCTGCATTGACAAGGAATGTAATATATACACATGCACATATATAGGATAAATGCTAAAGGTTTCAAAAAATAGACAATGTATTCTGTACTAGTAAGTTCTACATATGTTTAATGCCAAATAACAACATAATAGGCTAAAAAAAGACCATCATAAAAACAAAAAATAAATTATTGTGATTATAATTTTACACAAACAACACAAATAAATTTACTAGGATGACGAGGCACTAATCACTAATTTTTGTTAACAGAGACTTACCTTGTGTAGCAGTATCAACAATGTGAACATGGGAGGTAAGATAACAAAATGGCATAAGACAATTGGGGGTTTATGATATTTCAATCCCATGTCCAGATCAAGACCAATTTTATAAAAAGCTGTTCTTTCAATCAGGCAATATGTAGTTGTTTTGGATGTTGTTGGCTTATTTCACCCAACATACACAACAAAAAGGGAATAATATTTATCATAACTTCCAGTAGATATTGCAAAAATCTGATTCATTTTATATTTAAAGGAGGGAACAAAATAAAGTTGTAAGAACTAAATGTGCGATGCATCAGTTGAACGTGGATTACCTTGTCTGCAGATCCAGTCAAAAATAAATCACCCTCGGCTACGAATTTCACACTAGTAACCTACCAAAACAAAAAACAGTGATCTGCTAAGCAATTTCTCTTCAATGAAAGAGCCATAGGGATAAAACACAGTAATCAAAAAAACGAAAAAATGAAAACCTTCTTTGAGTGACCACTGAGTGTAGATACGATCTGTCCTGATGGGCGATCAAAGAGTACTGCAGTGGAATCAATTCCTCCAGTGGCAATGATGTCCTGAGGACCAGAGCAAATTAATCTCAAAAGCAACAAGTAAACAGCAATGATGAACCAAACATTCTACCCAGTCCCTAGTGCAATTTTAACAATTAGGAATAACTGTAACATGTTGCCAGTAAGTAAAATCCCCAAGTAATGATATCACTAAAAAAGAAGCCCTCAAACATACAAAAGCCTCTAAAAGATAAACGAACCCCACAATCTCATCCATGATCTCATGTTAGGAAATTTTTTTTTTTCCTTTTCAGTTATCCACTTCAAATTTTTTACTTGTCCCCGTTTAGCTTACTAGAAACTTTGGCTATCATACTCAAGTCAGAAGAACCAAAAGAACACAAATTCATCAATAATATTAAACAACTATCTAAAAGCTTGACTTTAAAGCCTATAGCTGCCACAGGTCGGGCAACTGCAGCAACATTCATAATATGGAATAGCAACTGTCTACACACAGCTGGCAGACAATTTGCAGTAAAATCTGCTAAACAAGTGACACAAGTCAGCATATGAATTAATTGACAGGATCAAATTGTAGGGATTTCCATACCTTAGAATAATGGATATCAATAGATGAAATGCCCGGTTTGCTGGTTTTGTGAAGGGGATGACTGGAAAGCTGTGTGTACCTCTCCACAGCTTCAACGGGAGCCAATGTTGGAGGAATCTAAAAACATGGAAAAAGAAAGATAAGAAATCATCAAGCAGAAACAAGCCTAACTTCATTAAGTGTGTTGGTCCTCTTAAATACATAAAACACAATGTCATGGGAAAAATCAAACTTGCCAAATGTATAATGCAAAACTCTTAATTCACATACAGAAGCAGGCTCTATATGAACACAAAAAAAGAATACCTGCCGCTTTTTACGCTGTTGTGAAAGAGCTGCATTACAGTCTGTCAACTCCGTAATGATGGTGGGAGAAATTCCAGGACGCATTCTCTTTCCAGCTGGGCCCAAATCATCCTCTTCGGCAGCTGCAGGGACACCAAAGTGTAAATGAGGGAATGAATAAGTAATGGTATAAAACTATAAAACCAAGAAGCATACAAGGAAAGACCTCTTTTTCCATTACTGAGAGCAGAGGTATTGACTGGAGCAGCAGCTGTTGCTAACGCAGGTATCTGTCTCTCAGCCTGTGCAAGCAGTGACCTTGCCTCATCCCTTTCCTTTCTAAGTCTAGCAATCACTCGGCAAGCAGCATCGTGCTAGCCAAATAAATATAAAATAGACCAGAGTCAGTAAACCAAGCAAGTTATACTTTCATTAATCCAGTCTCCAATGGAAAGTCTAGCACAGAAAAGATAAAACCTCGATATAAAATGAATAAAAAGAACAGAAATTTTGATCTGAACCTCATAAATGAGTTAAAAACAAAGATCCCCTTATCCCAAATGTTTCGAGCATCTTCAACAAATGACATATTATGAAAAATTCATTTTGCAAATGTAAAAGTTCATATTCTTTTGTAAATAATTTAGTAGGAGGACCCATATAAAAGACAAGTCACAAGGAAATAAGTAATTTCCAGCAAGTAAATGCATAACAACCAACTCAGCATCGGCCAAAAAAAAAAAATTCATAATTTTTTAAATACAAAACGAGAGAGAGAGAGAGAGAGAGAGAGAGAGAAGATCCCAGCACTTTTCAAGCTCTCATTAACCTACAAGCATCAAAGTTCATACCTTTAATAGGTATTTCTAAAAAAGTTACAATACTTAACCCACCTTGTTTTAAGTACTTTAAAAGAAAGGATTCACTGATAGATTGAAAAAAAAAAAAAAAAAAAAAAAAGTACTTTAAAAGAAGGATTCACTGAGTAATTAGAAAGAAAAAAAAAAAAAAAGAGAGCAAAAATAGTTTTTGGGAGTCAAAGGGTAAGGGGTGACATAGATTTTTACCCAACACATGCTTTAAAACAGGAATAAATCAAATGATCCCAGTGCATAAGTAGAAAAAAAAAAAAAAAAAAAAGAGAGCAAAAAATAAGTTTTTGGATCAAAAGCTTAGGGGTGACATAGATTTTACCCCAACACATGCTTTACAAGGAATAAATCATGATCCCAGTGCATAAGTATATTCAAGATAATTTTACAATGCATAAAGAGCTTGTAAACAGAGCTACATGCTAAGAAACATTTTTCCAGAATCAGTAGAAAGGAGAGCAAAATCATATGAAGGGTAAGCAAGGATAAAAATGGAGTTTTAATGGGAAAAAGTAAGAATGGTGCTGCATTGTTTGACCCATAAAAACTAACACACAAGAAACACGCTCATTGTGAAGAAGAATTAACTAATGTCAAAATGAACAGAACTGTAATCAAAATGGGAAAGAAGATACAGAATTAAGCATGAATGACACTAAAAAGACAAGGCATCTGCAACAGCACAAAGACAATGCTGAAGTAAACCAAAAGAAAAAGAAGGGGGATATTTGTGAAAATAAAAAAATATGAAACATGATTGTTGACATAAACTGAGGAAGATATAGAACAGATATCCATTAAAGTAGAATATTAGCAAGAATGCAATAAGTTCAATTACCTGGTATAATGCATGGCTTAGCTCTTGTCTTGCAGTATGTAGTTGTTGCTCCAAAGCAAAATTGGATAGCATCAGACCGTCCCATTCCTAAAATTAGATGAACATCATGACTTTGCAATTAAATCTAAAGGAAAAAATACACGTACACTGTTCTATACAACAAGGTTACAGAAAACATAAGCTCCTTTCGCAGTTAGAATCAAGTAAAATGAACTAGTAGAAAGCATTCAATGATCTAACCTAATGCTTAAGCATGCAAATAAAAAAACATGGATACAGTGATACCAATTACAAAAAAAAAAAAAAACAGTAGGGAAACAATTAAATATTCGAATGAACTCGATGAAAACATGGATCTAAATCATAAATCATCACTCAAAATCAAAATGAAACATATATCTAAAAAGTTAAGTTTACGAGTCATAACACATCAATTTTGTTTAAGGGTTACTAGCACCCCTAGCTATAAAATAAACCAAGGAAAAAAAAGATTAAGCACAATCAAGGTACAAGGGGTACATACATTCTGGAACATTCCAAGCATCCCAGGGATGCTAGCAGTTTGTACAGTTCTTGGCTTCACAATCTAAAAGGCAGGCCAAAGAAAATAAATAATCCCAAAAAGGTTATACCAGTAGTGAATATATTTTTTTTAAAAAAAAAAGAACTTCAATAATAATCCCAACCAAGAAATGGCAACGAAGCATACCTTGCCTGTTTTGACTGGAACAATGTCATCCATCGTAAGTGGTTCCCCAGTAATTGGACATTTTCCATAATCCTAAATAGATGATAGACAATCACAGAGAGCTTGTCAAACATAAGGTTAAACTGTAACAAACCAAGCGATCAATTCATATAGATTGTCTAAAATAAAATACAAGAAATTGTGCTGCTGGGAAGGGAGTCCAAAAGAGACAGAAACACGTAAAAGACCTAACAGTATTCTCCACCTATGGAGCCCCATATTTCCAGGGACATTGTAATCCTGGTTTTCAAAAAGCAAAATGGAAAAGCCGCCTAAGCAAACCTGGGGTCAGTTAAACAAAGCAACCCTCTTCTCCACTTTATTTTCCATCTTTTTTTTTCTCATTCACCAAACAGAATCCATATATCCTAAAAACCCTAAACAAGACACGTTTAATTAGTTATTATACGTTGTCCTCAATTTCTCAATTTTAAGCACAGGAACCATGAAAAAGCTTCAAACCTTATTTTCTACCACTGAGCACCCAGAAAGAGAAAAATTAGAAACTGAAACCCTAAATGGCAGGGAAAAAAAATAGAGAAACATACCGATATGTGCATCTCGATTAAGCGCTTTTCGTATAGAAGCCCAGACTTCTTTGAGACGACGGGCTCTTCCGGCACCTCGCCGGAGACTGCAGGAACAAACCAAACCAATCAACAACAGAGATCCATAAACTCAAACAAAAAACGAAATATTGGAACGCAAAGCATAGAGAGAGAGAGAGAGAGAGAGAGAGAGAGAGAGAGTTACTTGAACAATGCATTTTGAAGAGAGCTAGGGGTTTCTCTGTTGAGCTAAGTAAGATAAGGAGTGATTTGGTAAATTTACGCAGCACTAGTAGGAGCAGCAGCTGCAGCAGAAGCAGCAATGAGAGAGGGAAGAGAATACAAAAGAGAGGGGTTTTTCGAGCGAAAGGAAATATGAAGCTAGTCAATGCTTCTGTGGATTTAGGATTGACCCACACCCACCCAACCCAACCCAACCCTGACTAATGGATTTGAGCTTGGTCTAAGATTTGGCCCACATAAAAAAGGCCGAGAATGGCCCAACTCAATTCCGACGACAGGAAAAAAAAAAAAAAAAAAAAGGATGTTGAGCTTGAGTCCCTACAGAGATTTGGCCACATAGTAAAAAAAGGCGGAGAATGGCCCAACTCAATTCGCGACGACAGAAAAAAAAGAGAATGAAAAAAAGAGGGTCTGTCGTTTGGCGAATAGCGAGATTGGCTTAAAGTTTTTGGAGATACGCGGAAACAGGTTTGGGTTTGCGGACCGTTCATTTGTAAAACCTCATAGCCTGAAAGGGTTGGAGACTTGATTGATGTTTCAAAGGCATTCTGATTCTTGGCCATCATGGCCAGCCATATTTTTCCTGGTTTTAATGTGCTAATGAATTTAAGCAAATACCACTTCATGATTAAAAAAAAAAAAAAAAAAGAGGGTCTGTCGTTTTCATCGAGATGGCTTAATTTTTGGAGATAAACGCGGAAACGGTTTGGTTTGCGGACGTTCATTGTAAACCTCTAGCCTGAAAGGGTTGGACTTGATTGATGTCAAAGGCATCTGATTCTTGGACCCATCATGCACATATTTTTCCTGGTTTTATGTGCTATGAATTTAGCATACACTTCATTTATACACCAAGCCAATAAAAAAAAATTTTTTAAATATCGCTATTTGATTTTTTTTCCCATTATGATTAGAAATTTCTTCGTTTGAATCAAACCATTATTTATAATTTGTTTAATACATCAAATGTAGGTAAGTATCATTCATTCGCTTTCCACGAACTATCACAGCAATAGCCAAAAACAAGTGAGAAGCATATAACGGTTCTAATATATTTGATAATAGTAAGATTTTTTATGCAACTGAATATATTTTTTTGGACGATTTACCATTATTGCTTATTGGTTTGATAAGGAATTTTCAATTTACATTGTGAAAATCTAACTTTTTTAGTTACCATACTTGTCTAACTTCCAATGAAGTTGATGAATTCACTTCCTGGAACTAAGTTATTGAGCCTGATCCAGTTAAATTTCCCATTTTCTATTTCACCGTCGCTTTTGCCTTGTTCTTTCTTTGAAACAACATTGTTATCAAAATCATGATTCAAATTGTAAAATCATATAAATTTATGATTTTAATAATGAAAAATCGTGATAAAATCACAATAAAATCATTAAAATTATTCAGTAGAAGTATTAAAATGGGGGAAAACTTACTTAGACCCTGTCCATGTCTCTATCTATGGATCAAACCAATGAAATTCAGTATTTGTATTAAAACGAAAGTATTTCTAACCATACATTTAAAAAAAAAATCGGAAAACCTTTTAGAAAACTCTTGCTTTACATTGTTAAGAAGTAAAACAACTGCATGCATCAAGGGAGGCTAATAGTGCCCATAGTATTTGATATCCAAAGGTACATTATGTCTATGCCATCAAGTGTAGTGGACAAGACACTCACCCACATTCCGATATGAACTTGTGGTGTAAGGCACTAAGACTAACGGAATCAATTAACCATATAGAATAATCCTTCGCTTTGGACAGTGAATGACCCCATCAAATTACATCTTGAAAGACAGTGTATGTAGCAGCATTTTTTCAGGAAGAAGCTATAGACAAATCTTTTTAATCATCTTTGCATGTACCATTTATAGATAATGAATATTTACCAATTAAATACTTGTATTATCACAAAACTTGCTATTGTTATATAATACGTCACAACGAAATATATGCCTAGTATTTTAACTAAATCAAGATCAACAGGTTAGAGGCATATGAATATGGAAATGTAATTGTGCAAAAGTTATATATGTATTATAAGGCAAGAGACATACAAGATAGTCGAGATTTTTGGTTCTATATCGTAACAAAAGCTGGTGGTGTTAATGAAAAGCGTAAGAAAAATATATATTCTCCGAGCAAAATGATTCTTCCAACATAACTATCTTTCTTGTTAAATATATTAGAGCATATGCATATGTTGCTTTAATCCTGAATTTGATCTAACTTTGCACAGCATAAAATATATATGTGCAGATGCTTATTTTCCTTCGCCTGCAAAATTTTAATTTCTGTCATAACAATGCTTTGATAGAGAATGCAAAGCCAGTATATGCAAAAGGCGTGTTTCTTCACATGATTAGTTAAATATCACAGAATCTGCATTTTAACTTTCGCATAGAATTTCTGCAACTTTGATGGAACAGCAAACACATCACCTAATGTTACAAAATAAGCAAAGCTTAAGAAAGATTAGACGATAATAATCTTTATAAGGAGTGGTTCAAATAGCAAGATATGCTTGAATTCAGTAGACGGTCCCTCCAAGATTAGGGTTTCAAAATGTGGAAAAAAACATTTATAAAAAAGGAGTAAAACTACACAACTCGGTTGATTATATCATGGCCTATCCAAAGAGAAAGGTCCCTGCAAATTAGCCATCCAATCATGAGCGTTGAAATTGGCTTCTCTATAAGTATACTTAAAACTCCAGCATTGCAAGGAATATTAATATTAATTTTTATGTTTCATGAGTAATAATGAAACAAATTAGTGCAGAACATAATCTTGAATACCAAGAAAATAGATATTTAACTCTTAGGGAAGACTCTCCATAGAACAGGGGAAATCACACTTTCAATAACGAATTTTGCAGAAATGGGAAAAAAGGAAGCACTTTAGAGGGAATTTTAGCGGTACTAGACAATGGCAAAAGAAAAGAATCGAACTTGACCACTAAAAGCACATATAATATAGCGTTAAAATGAGTTAGGCAAGTGGAAAACCCAGGCATGAGCCCGGTAATTAGATATTAATCTATAGTGCAGGTGGTATAAGCCTGTGAAAGCAAGAGGATCCTGTGCTGCTAGCTCTATGTGGGTGTGAAAAGATATTAATCGAAGGTAGGTTGATGCAAAGAAACCTAGTAGATGAGACACTTATTGATGGGGTGCTTATGTAGTTGGTCTGTCCTTTTTGTTACTTGGGAATCAAAATAAGTGGAACTATCTTTTTTGCGTTTGGTTACTTTCTGCTTTATTTCATTTCTGTTTATATGCTTTTATACTTTGAAAGATGTTCAAGTCTTAAGGGTCACGTACTGGAGATCTTGAAATGAGAAAAAGATATAAGCGTGTCAACATGAGAGAGTTTAGACAATACCAATATTTTCCTTTTTTTACATAAATATTTTTCCTTTTCCAAATTTTTTTTTTGGGTTTATATATATATATATTCGAATTCGTTAACCGCGGATTGATTTAGTTATAATTGACATAAAAACATCACTAGAGATTTAAAATTGGAATTCTTACTTTTAGAATACGATATATGAAAGAGAACTTTGCTGTTTTGTATTTTTAATTTTTAAATTTATGAGAGAACAGACATATTAATAGTATTATAAGCAATACAATACATGTTTTTATTTTTAATAACTCTTACTAAATTGGCTAAAGTTTTGTTAAAAGAAATATTTAAACTTAAGACTCTTATTTATTTCGATATCTAAAATTAAGATTAAGGATTGTACCAGATGAAATTATGTATCGGAGGAATTAAAAATATTTTAAGACACATTTTTAATTTAATTGTTAAACGCTTACTCCTTTAATTTATATTTTTGGCTTCTCGGTGCCTCTTCTCCATTTTAATTGAAACAAACAAAAGGGAAACTAATATTTACTGCATTAAATTTCAGGTGATGTTAGCTAAAAATCTTAATCAATGGATGGATAGGCTGTTATTTCTGGGTATGTACAAGGGTCACTAGTGCTATACATACCCAACCCAACTACACTGACATTGCACATGGGGCTATAACTATGTAAACTTGCATTGTCTTTCCTATCATTTCTATAAGGGAAAATGAAGAAATTTTAGTAATTGGTAGTCACTCTCCAAAATATTGGCAATCAAAACACTAATCTCTCTCTTGCAAGCTCATGCGCACCTATTTAAATTCCATTTCAAGACAAACATTAATAAAGTTTCAATTTCCATATTCGCACCAAATAAAAAATAAATTACATATTAATAAATAAATATCTAAAATACTCGGCAATTGATGTGTTAAAATGTTAAAATATTTAGTCAAAATTACAATCTATCTACTAAAAAAGTTTTTAAATTTTGTATATTGAAATTCTAAAACTTAGATTCAATTCTCCTTTGATAGCTTCAACTTTTGGCATCAAGAATGCAATTACAAAGTGGAATATGTTGACCACTATGTTCAAGTTACTGTTGAGTCACAAACAATGGGACACCATTTCATTAGTTGGGTTTCAAATTCGAGATCACAAGAATTTGTATATTATGTGACATCAATTGTCACACATCATGATAAAAAGAAAAGGAAAACGACATTTCACTTTCCCACTTCCATTTCCTCACAGAAAGTTTTAATTTATTGGTTATGAGATGCAATACAATCAAGAGACAACAACTTGATCATTATCCTTGACTAGGCATGGCCATATTGCGGTTCCGGGAACCGGAACCGTCGGTTCGAACCGGCCCGGAACCGCAACCGGAACCGGTGAGAACCGGAACCAATTATATATTTTGTCACTTAGCGGATACATATCGGATAGAATAAAAATGAAAAGGACAACTGACACGATTATCACATTCGACTGACATTTCCTCCCACAAGAACACTGTGTATATTACATATATATACCTTGGGTTCACTGAGATTGCATATAGACCATACAAGGACACAAATAACGTTGGATGCACCTCCTATACTCATTTTGGCGGATCTACCGCGAGGGAAAGCGCCGAATAACAGGTGGTCCGGGACAGAGACCAACGGCCCGGCGGAATCGCACACGCCGAACCGGGACAACACGGAAGAAGGCGATGAGGAACCGAACACACCCGGAGACGCCGTGGTAAAGA